GCTGCACCCTGTCCCAGGAGAGACCCTCACCCCCACCAGTCTGTGCTGACGGCCACTCCCAGTGGACAGAGGCCGCAGGCAGCACTGTGGTGACCCGAAGGCCATAGGCTCTGTGACGTGGGGGGAAACACAGTGGCATAAAGGGTCCCCGGAGCCAGACTTCCGGCAAGCAGGGCTCTGACCACAGGATCCCAGGAGCCCGGCTGGCAGGTCCCAGCAGGAGCCCCAGCGCAGACTGCACAGGGGTAGCTGGCCAGGTGGGACGTGTCCCCTCCCTTTTGTGGCTCAACTGTCAGAGGCTAAGCCTGAGACAGATCAGGACACAAATGAAGTCTCCATCCCTAGCTGGCCTGATGGTCCCACGCGGTCTGGGGCCTGTCCCCAGGCCGCGGGGAAGGGAGTCCTCACTGCCAGGGTGAGCATGTAGACCCCCCTGGGGGCCAGGCCTCCAAGGCCACGGCCAGGGGCAGGGAGACGCCCAAGCGGGCTCTGTGCCGCTGGAGGAGCAGCTGCGCCTTCCAGAGCTGTGTTTGCTCCAGTAGGGGCAGCCGGCCCCCCCCCGTGTCCCCTTCCCCGCGTCCCTCACCCCCGCGTCCCCCCCATGCCCCCCACCCCTCGTCCCCTCCCCCGCGTCCCCCAACCCCCACGTCCCCCCCACCCTGCGTCCCCCCCGTGCCCCCCACCCCGCGTCCCTCACCCCTGTGTCCCCCCCGGTGTCCTCCACACCTGCGTCCCCCACCCCCGCATCCCCCCCGCGTCCCCCCCGCGTCCCCCCCACGTGTCCTCCCCCGAGTCCTCCACCCCCGCGTCCCCCACCCCCGCGTCCCCCACGTCCCCCACGGGCGCAGGCGGCCTACCACGCAAGGTCTCGGCACCTGACAAGCCCAGGCCAGCCTGCCCCCCTCCCCTCTCTCCAGGGCCCCCCAGAGATCTGCTGTTGGGCATCCTGGGGGTGCTCCTGGGGCTCCTGCCCTGTGGCTGTGCCCACGCGGCCCCAGGACCCACAAGCGGCAGCTGGAGAGGAGCTGGGGGGGCACCCAAGGAGTGTGGAAGGGGCCCACTCTGCGTGCTGTGGTCTTAGGTCGCGTGGCCCCCCCACCCCCGGGATGCTCGGTTTCAGGTGGACACAGCCCCTGACGTGTACGTTCACCCCCTTGTTCATGGCATTGCCCAGAGACCCCGCAGGGTTTCTGTGCTGGTCTCGGACACCCCCTCCCGGGCAGGATTCCTCCACGGGAAATTTACGGCGCAGATTTCCCATGCTAGCTACTCTGCCATAATTAACCAGAGACAATTAATATTAAAATGCGCCCCCCCCCCACCGCAACAGGCAATGAAATTTCCAGAAGTTCTCTGCTATACATTCCATCGGTTTTATGGCAAGATTGGATTAGCAGCAAAGGGCACCTTGATTTTTAAAATCATCTTACAGTTACAGACGATACTTCGTAGGTTGCATCCGATAAATGCGCAAAACCATTTGTTCAACAAATGGAAAAGAGGGGCTGCTCAGACCAGTTGGAAACATTTCCTGGGAGGGTTTTGTGCATTTAACACACACACACACACACACACACACACACACACACACACTACAGCATGAGGTTCTCTTCTCGCCCTGCCACGGCTTTATTAGGTTCCCAAATCCAATCTATGGGGCTGTCCGGGCGGAGCGCACCTGCGGCAGCACGCGCGGGGCCTAAATTGCCGGGGGTGCGTGAGCGGACACCCCCTGACGGCGATCGACACAGAAGGGCACCACCACTTAGAGCCGAGGGCAGGGATGACCAAAGGTTAAGTGTCTAGATATAAACCCCCCATGGACATGACACCAGTGCGCTTTGTCGCTACAACGTGGGCGCTGCAGTTTCACCAAAGTGGGTTTGAAGTCCTGGTGCCGCTCCCCGCCTGTGACATCGTCTTTTCTGCTCAACGGAGAGCATGCTGTGTGCTTGAGAGCTAAAAACAATGAGGCAGCTGAAATATTCCTGTCGACCAGATAAGAGAATACGGAGTCCGGCAATTCCACGTGAGGACCCGACGCCTCCAGAAAGTACTTTCTCTCCTTGTTTCACTTATTTGTGTGACTGGAAACCAAGTTTTTAGAGCATTTAATTGCACGTCAGACGGGAGAGGAAGGAGCCGAGAACCCAGGCCCCAACGGGCCTGTGCGAGGCCGCGCTGGAAGGTGCCGGCTGAGCCCACTTGGGGCCACCACTCCCTGGTGCCCCCGTGGGCTCCTGATGCGGGGGACGCCCGTCGCCCTCACCTCCCGACCGTCTAACAGAATGAGCGTCTTCTCCTCCAGCCCCGGTTTTACCAAGCCCATTCACCACTGCCTCAGTCCTGCGGCGGGGCCGGGGCGGGGGACACGCTTCGTACAGGGGTGCAGACTCCGGCCTCCCTGTCAGCCCCCGGAGGTGGCGCTAGGCCTCGGCTGACGGCGGGTTTGCTCACGCGGCTTCCAGCCTGTCGGGCAAAGACGCGGCTTGAAACAGCCGTCCCCCCTCACCTTGTTCTTTGGCGAAGGCGCGTTCTCAGAAGGGACGCTGCTTAGAAGGAAGGGCCCTGGCTCCTCGTGCTTCCCTCCCAGCTGGCTGGAGCAGGGGCATGACGACCGACCGGTGCCTGTGCAACCCTTTAGGGCTGTGAGGCGGCGCAGGGAGGGTGACAGAGCAGCACAGGAAACACAAACAGGGACCCTGGTGACCACGGGGGACAGCACCCCAGCCTCTGAGCATCCACGCGAGAAGTGAACACCGATGGAGTTGAGGCCGCCGCCGTGCTGTCGGGAGGGGGCCCGAGAGTGAGCTCAGGAGCAGGGCCCGGATCGGGGGCTGCTGCTGGTGCATCACAGGTGTCTGTGGATGTGGCTTCGGCGAGCGCCGTGCTCACATCTCCTTGCGCGGCATGTGTTTGGTCACTGGTGGGCGCCCAGCAGCGCCCGTGAGCCTGGGCAGAGGGGGAGACCCTGGCCTGGAGCCTGTGCTCCAGAAGAACATTTTGTGGGCCCCCTGCTCGGGGGCCATAGTGAGACGTTTCGGGGGGACGATCACCTGTGGGTTTTCTGGCCCAAATCCCTTTTAGGCGCGTACCCACCGATCCCTTGGCCTGGACCCTCTGGGCTGCGGTCTCTGTCCTGCACTTCAGAGGCCTGTCCTGCGTCCTGGCTGCTGGCCCCATGCCACCAGCGATGCTTAGACTTCAAACGTACGTGGCAGGCACCCTCAGCGGCCACAGCAGGTGGCGCCCTCCGCCACTCCCGCCCAGGTGGACAGAGGCAGTGGCTCTGCTCGGGAGAGTCTGGGGTCCCTGGCCAAGGTCTGGCAGAAGAGGAGAGGCCAGAACCAGGCGCCATCCAGGAAAGCACTGAGCTAGGCCAGGGGCGATGGCGAGGGCTGTGCGGTTCAGTCTGGCTCCCCCGCGTGTCTCCGTACGCGTGGGGACTGCCATATGACACACACACACGACGACACCCCTTTTGCTTTCTTTCAGAATAATGCTCAGAATAAGCTAAAGATCTCCACCCCCAGGGAGTCCCAGCATGAGGCACTTCGGTTAAAACAACAACAAAGTCTTCCTTATTTCCCACCCCAGCAGCTCCGTGTCCCCGGCCATTTCCGGTTTCCCCCACTCCCACGCGGGTCTCAGGTACCACCCGGCTGCCCACAGCTGGCACCTCCTGGTCCCTGAAGCAAACTCCCCTGGTCAAGCTGTTATTATCCGGGGTTTTCTCTTGATCATGGCCGACTTCCATCCTACTTGTGGCAGAACTGAAATTTGCACCGACTTCCTTTCCTGTTTGCAGCCACACCACAAGATAGATGGCCGGCCAGTGTGTCCATGACCCAGGGCCCCCCGGGCTCCCATCAGCACGTCCGGAGGGCTTGGGCCCCAGTGGGGCGAGGGCTGCACTGGGGCAGCTGTGCCGACCGGACGCATTCCGTGAGAGCGTCCCGCAGAGGCTCGGGCGGCCGCTCCTGACCCAGGGGCGCACGTCCCTGGCATCCCACCCTGTGAGGGGACGGGAGGCGGTCACAATGGGGTTGGCAATCCTGAGGGCAGATGCCGCTTATCACCACCTTACCGAAGAGGAGACAGGTGCAGAGAGGCTGGGCCAGGACGCGGCAGAGAAGCAGCCACCTCTCGGGCCCCAGGGCACCGGCAGAGGACCTGGGCCTCGGGTTCAGCTGCGGAGCTCGAGCTCAGGGGGTTGAGCACTCACACCCCAGCGGTTCCCACAGACCCCAGGTGTGCTCCCCTCGGCCTCCCCACGGGTGACCCTCTATGGCTGCACACCCGCGTCCTTGCGAAGCTGGGAACGTCTCTGGGCACGTCGGCAGCCTGACACCAGCCCCACAAGCGCGAGGTGAGGCCTGCTCCTGAGCGGCGAGCACCCCAAACCTGCACAGCGGGCCGGGTCCCCCTTTCCGGGCCTGGTTTCCACAGAGACTTCATTACAGGCTCTGAACTCCCTGCCGTTGGAAGGCGTGCTGCCCAGAGAGCGTTTTTACGCAGAAACATGAGACCTATTCTGCCCTTGGGCGTAAAATCGCTTCTATAAACTGAGCAGGAAGCAGACCAGGGGTGGTGGCCAGGCCCCTCGGGCTCCACCACACGAACCTCGGGGCCCCCGCCAGCCGCTGTTTCGTGAAGGCGCCCCTACTCAGGGGGCCTGGACCTTGTCACAGAACACTGGCCCCCCTTTCTGCTCTGTGACCCCGGAGCACCCCTCTGTGGCATCCAGGGCTGGGGTCCTGACTGGGGACCAGCCCCTCGTCATGGGGCTAAGGGAACACGAAGGTCCCCACAGCTAACGTGTCCGTGAACGTGCCCGGCGGGGACCCGCTGACTGAGCGTGTCCTGGCCCACCCGACCTTGGGTTCTCAAGGGCCAACTTTATTTTCCTCTGGCCCAGGTTCTGGGGCTCCCGCCAACAGCCCACGCACTCCTAAGCCCTCCCGCAACCTGCCACCAGCTAGCCGGCCGGTCCCACTCACCGGGAGGGCCGCCGGGGACGTCCCTCTGGCCTCGAGAGGTGTCTGATGCCAGCGCTGGCTCCAGGCCTCCCCTGGGGAGCGGCGGGTCTCCTCCAGCACTTTCCAGGGCAGCTCTATGCTCCAGGCCCCCAGGCTTGGGGCTCCACAGAGGATAAGCAATGCATTCAAACCCACTGCAAAGGGAAGTGTCGGACTGGGCTTTGCTGGACACCAAGCCGAGAGGGACACCTGGGTGTGGGGGACACAGTGGCCTAAGGGTCCTTCCAGGGAAGAGGGGACGAGACGACCACTCTGAGACCAAGGTGGAGGGAAGCAGGGAATGGTGGGGGCGAGGGTCTTGTCTGGGGCCACCTGGAGCCGTGCTGCAGCCCAGCCCACCTCCCCCGGGGCCCCCTGCCTGACCCCTACTGTCTGTAGGTGCCTTTGCCTCTGTTCCACTAGACAGAGCATGTCGTGTCTGGAGGTCACTACTGTGTCCCCGGGGTCCCCCACCCCCCACGGGCGTCTGGGGCCGCCCACACTCACAACGGGGTCTGGATGCGTGTGTCCGGGTGGTCTTTGTCCACTTTGAAGAAGCTGACCTCCGAGTAGGCCGGGAGCTGCACATACCTGACGCCAGCTGAGATCTTCAAAACCCGGCCATCCTCGCCTTGGGAAGGAGAGAGAAGCAGGCTGAGCCCAGGGAGGGACAGAGCGGCCGCAAGGACCCGGGCCTCTCCCTCCCCGGTCCTGGGCTGGGCACCTGTGAGGGCCGTTGCAGTAGACCTCCCGCAGGGGCAGCGCCTGCCCCGGCCACGACCGGATCCAGCTCGAGCTCCCCGCCTGCCTTCCCGGCTCCTCTACCCCCTGGCCCTCGGCTGAGCCGTCCACACTGCCCCACACCTCCAGCCCTCACTGGGGGGTCCCAGGCCTCAGGGCACCTGGCTGTGCCTCTGGGTTGGGGGGTTCTCCTTGTGGGCCAGCTTCAGGGTTTCACCTGCTCAGGGCCGTGGGGTTGCGCTGACCGAGAGCAGACACGCCAGAGGCTTGTCTTCACCATGGCTCTGCCTCCGGGGAGACATCACTGCTTGTCGCCCATCTCCCACCTCGACCTGGAGGATGGCTCCGTGCCCCTGGTCTACACTCCCGAGGCCCTGGGCACAGGGCCTGGTCGTGTGGGCTCTAAGCAGCCCGGGACGGCCCGTCATCCCGCCCCCGCGGAAGAGGAGACAGAGCAGCGCAGATGCTGCAAGTACTTGGACTTGGATGGAAGGGAGTGGGGAGTGGAGTTGAGAATAACACCCAGCATGGTCTGATCGGCTTCCATTCCGGGCCGAGATGGGGCACCTGGAACCAGTCTATGCTCCTGCTTGAAGCAACCAGAGTGCAGACAAAATATGATGATACGAGGGTTTTCAGGGTCCAAGGACAGTGGTCCCTGAGGGATGGGAAACGGACAGTGTGGACCCCATAACTGCCCAGGCCACTCCCCTGAGAGAAGGTGGACAGGGTGCAGGGAGAGGGACGGAGCAGGCCCAGGAGCCCGCTCCGTGAGGGCACAGGGCTGATGGGGGGACAGGCACACACCAGGGGTCCGGGAGTCTAGACAGGCACAGAGGGACAGAGAGGAGTGTGGGGCTGCTGGGTGCGCAGCAGAGCACAGGTCGGTGCACCGAGGGCGAGGAAATGTCCCACGGCCAGGAAAAGAGCCAGGCAAAGACAGGGTGGGAGGGGCCGGGGCTCGCAGGGGCCGGGAGCGGTGCTCACTCCCGTTGGCCAGGCTGGAAGGCCGGACGCCGTGGCACGCCAGGCGGCCTTCTCAGAAGGTCTTGCTTCAGCAGTGGGGCTAATGGGCCTCAGACGGAGCTCAGCTCCACACCTACCACTTCATAAAGGCAAAACCTGAAAGGATCAAACGATTGCCAAGTAAATCAACTGTACCCCAGAAAAAAGGCCAAGAATATTTATGGGAACGCAGCAATATCCAGCCTCCAAGTGGCAAAAATGTCAATGCCTGGCACCCAGGCAAAGATTACCAGGCAAAGAATGACGAAGAGTATGGTCCATAAAGAGGAGGGAACACAGTCAAATGAAACCAACCCAGAACTGACCCAGATGTTAGAATTAGCAGGAAAGGACACCTTTTCAAAGTTATTATTATAACTGGACTCCATGTGTTCAAAAGATAAGTAGAGACACTGAAGATATAAAAAGAACAAAGTCGAACTTCTAGAAATAAAAACTACTAGATAAAAAATACACTGTATGTGATCAATGGCAGATTAGACATTGCAAAAAAAAAAAAAAAAAGATTCATGAACTTTAAAACATAGCTATAGAAACTACCCAAAATGAAACACCAAGAAGAAAAAGGTAAAAAAAGAAAAAAGAAAAAAAAAAAGGGAGGATAAAGAGGGAAGGGGAAAAGGTATCTATGAACCGCAAGGCGACATTAAGCAGCCTGATATGTGGGTAACGGAGCCCCTAAGAGAGGGAGGAAAAAAACAATTGGGTAAAAATTGAGGAAATAAAGTCTGAAAAATCCCAAAATTTGATGAAAACTATAAACCCACAGATCCAAGAAAATCAATAGACCCCAAGCACAAGAAACATGAAGAAAATTACACCGTGTCACTTCAAAAATAAAACTGCTCAGGGCGCCTGGGTGGCTCACTCGGTTAAGCGTCCGACTTCGGCTCAGGTCACGATGCTGCAGTTTGTAGTTCGAGCCCCGCGTTGGGCTCTGTGCTGACAGCTCGGAGCCTGGAGCTGCTTCGGAGTCTGTCTTCCTCTTTCTCTAACCGCCCCCCCGCCCCCGCTCGCACTCTGTCTCTCTCAAAAATAAACACTAAAAATATTAACAAAAATAAAAAATAAAACTTCTCAAACCAGTGAGAAAGAGAAAATCTTAAAAGCAGCCAGAGAAAAAGCAAGTTTGTATGGAGAAAACACAGATAAAGATGGCAGCAGACTTCTCATCGGAAACAGCACAGACAAGAAGACAATGGAACAGGACCTCTGTCCTGCTGGAAGGTAAACCAGAATTCTATACCTGGTGAAAAAAGTCTGTGAGAAATGAAAGTAAAATCAAGATGTTTCCAGACATGTGAAAGCGGAAGGAATTAACTGCCAGCCAGCATGGAGGACAAGAAATGTTAAAGGTTAAGTCCTTCAGGCAGAAGGAAAACGGTACCAGCTGGAAATCTGTATTTATTGGAAAGAATGGGGAGAACCAGAAATAGTAACTATGTGGGTAAATCGCTAAGATTTCCTTTTTTTGGGTGAAGGATCCTTTGAAAGAGAAACGACTGTTTAAACAAAAGTAATAACAATGTATTATGAAGTGTATTAAACACAAGAATGTAAAACATGTAAAAACAACAGCATAAAGATTGGGATTGCGGAAAAGGAAGTATATACTATTGTAGCGTTCTTATGTTATGTGGGAAGTAGTATGGTATCATTCCAGAGCAGACTGTGATAAGTTAAAGATGTAAATTGTGGACCTTAAAGCAATCCCTAGAACAAAAGAACAAGGAGTAACAATTGATAAGCCAACAGAGGAGACAGGATGGAATCATAAACAACACTCAACCCACAAAACGGTGGATTCGAGTCTAAAGAGAACCAGAAAGCAGCCAGGGCACAGAAAACAGTAAAATAGTAAGTGTGAAACTGGTATATCAATAATTATATTAAATGTGAACGGTGTAAAAACTTCAATTGAAAGATAGATGTGGTTAGACTGAACTAAAAAGCAAGACCCAACTACATATTGCCTACTAAAAGCACACTTTAAATATAAAGACTTAAGTGGGTGAAAAGTAAAAGGATGGATACAGATGTTAGTTACGAGAGAGCTGGAGTCACTATATTAGTATCATAGGAAGTAGATGTCAGAGCAATGGCTATGTCAGAGATGAGAAAGGTAATTTTGGGGGCGCCTGGGTGGCTCAGTTGGTTAAGTGTCCAACTTCAGCTCAGGTCATGAAGGTAGGTTCAAGCCCCGCATTGGGCTCTGTGCTGACAGCTCAGAGCATGGAGCTTGATCCAGATTCTGTGTTTCCCTCTCCTCTCTCTGCCCCTGCCCCACTCATGCTCTCTCTCTCTCTCTCCCTCTCTCTCTCTCAAAAATAAATAAACATTAAAAAAAATAGAAAGGTAATTTTGCAATGATAGGGGGTCAAGTAATTAAATGACATAAAAATCCCAAATGTTTATGTGGCTAATAGCAGAGCTACAAAATCTGTGTTGCAAAAAAATGATAGAAATGAAATCAGAAATAGACAATTCACAATTATAATCAGAGATTTCAATATACCACTGTCAGTACTGATAGAACAAGTGGACAGAGAATCAGCAAAGACATGGTAAACTTGAAGGACGGTGTCAGTAAGATCCACCTGATTGATATTTATAGAAGATACTTACAGATAGATATTTATTTAGAGATTGATATTTATTCCACCCAACAAGAGCAGAAATCATGTTCTTCTCAAAGTGCACACACATTTACCAAAACAGGAGAAATTCTATGAAAAAAGTCTCACATTTAAAGGGATTCAAGATATACCAAGTATAACTCTAACCACATGGAATTAAGTCGAAAGGTAATTACAGAAAGATCTGAAAAATCTCCAGGTATTTGGAAGTGAAACAACGCACTTCTACATCACTCATGGGGCAAATGGAAAATCAAAAGGGAAATCAGAAAGCATTCTGAACTAAATGAAAATACACAACATATCAAAACTGCGGACCTGTAGCCAATTAGTCAGGCAAAACAGGAAGAAGACACCAACAATCCACAGCTGGAACACAGAGGTGATATCAGTGCATTAGCGGAGAATGAGGAAATATCATGAACAAGCTTATGACGATAAATCTGACAACTTAGATGAACAAATATTCCTTCAAAGACACAAAACACCCAAGTTTATTCAAGAAGAAACAGGTAACGTTGGGGTGCCTGGGTGGCTCAGTCGGTTGGGCGTCCGATTTTTGATTTCAGGTCACGTCACGATCTTATGGTTCACAGGATCAAGCACCAGTTTGGGCTCTGGGCTGAAGGTGCGGAGCCTGCTTAGGATTCTCTCCCCCTGTCTCCGTCTGCCCCTCCCCTGCTCTATCATGTGCTCTCACAAAATAGATAAAAAATAAAAAAAGAAGAAGAAACAGATAACCCCAATAACCATATATCTACTAAAGAAACTGAATTAGTAATTAAAAGTCTTTCCACAAAGAAACTCCAGGCCTCAATGGCCTTCATACTGAATTCTACCAAACATTTAAGAAAGAAATGATACTAATTCAACAAGACTCTTCCAGAAAATTGAAGAGGAAGTAATTTTCTCTGACTCATTCTACGAGGTCAGCATTACCCTGATACCAGCACCAGACAAAGATATTAAAGAAAAAAGAAACTCGGGGTGCCTGGCGGGCTCCGTTGGCGGAGTGCGTGATTCTTGATCTCAGGGTTGTAAGTTTGAGTCTCATGGTGGGCGTAGAGATTACTTAAAAACAAGCCTTAAAAAGGAAAACAAAGAAAAAAAATTCAAGACCAATATCCTTCATGAAAAGACATGCGAAAAATGTAAACAAAATTTTAGCAAATGGAACGCCCGGGTCATCCAAGGGGCAAAGGGCAGCCTCTCAGCAGCGGTGCTGGGCCAGCTGGAAGCCACAGGTGAAGGAATGCAGAGAATTCCTTGGGTCCTGCCTCACACCACACAGAAAGAACTCGAAATCGATTATCGTTGTAAATATAAGAGCTAAAAATATAAAATTCTTAGAAGAGAATACAGGAGACAGTTTCCATGACTCTGAGTTAAGCAGTCTTCTTAGATTTGCGACAAACAGCATAACCAGCGAAAGAAAGCAGTAGGTGAGTTGGGTTGGACTTCACCAAAATTTAACATTTCTGTGTTCAAAGGACACCATCAAGAAACTGCAAGGCAACCCATAAAATGGGAAAAAAACATTTGTAAATCAGATGTTTAATAAGGGGACTTAGAGCCCATACACAGAGAACTCTTTTTTTAAAAAAAACATTTTACTGGGGCGCCTGAGGGGCTCAGTCAGTTAAGTGTCCAGTTCTTGGTTTCAGCTCAGATCATGGTCTCACAGTTTGAGAATTTGAGTCCCTCCTTGGGCTCTGTGCTGACAGTGTAGAGCCTGCTTGGGATTCTCTCTCTTTCTCTGGCTCTCTGCCCCTCCCTGTTCTTTCTCTCTCTCAAAATAAACAAACTAAAAAAAAGGTTTATTTTTGAGAGTGTGTGAGTGGGGGAGGGGCAGAGAGAGAGGGACAGAGGGGTCCTGTGCAGACAGCAGCGAGCCCAACGTGGGGCTTGATCCCATGAACCTGTGATATCTTGAGCTGAGCTGAAATCAGGAGTCAGATACTTAACCGCCTGAGCCACCCAGGCGCCCCCATAAAGAACTCTTGATAACTCACCATAAAAGGACAAGTTACCCAATTTTTTAAATGGGCAAAGATCTGAATAGATATTTCTCTGAAGAAGATGTATGAATGGTCGATAAATAATGGAAAGATGCTCAGCGTTATCCCTCGCTCAGGATGATGCAAATCAGAACCACAAGGGACATGGCCTCACGCGCAGCAGGGCGGCTCTGACCAGAACGACAGCGGTGGGAGGCGGTGGTGAGCGCGTGGAGCAGCCACTGCCGCGGGGCACGCGGGGTGCTGCAGCCACAAGGGGGAAAACACACCCAGACTGGGAAGAAGGAAGTAAAACTGGATGTATTTGTAGACGATGTGATCCTCTATATAGAAAATCCTATGAAATCCTCAGCAAGGTCAAAGGCCATCAGATCAATCTTTAAAAATCAATGTAGTCTACGGGGCATCTGGGTGGCTCAGTCAGTTAAGCGTCTGACTCTGCATTTCGGCTCTGCTCACGACCTCGAGGTTCCTGAGTTCAGGCCCTGGGTCGGGCTCTCACCATTAGAACAGAGCCTGCTTTGGATGCTCTGTCTCCCTCTCTCTCTGCCCCTCCCCTGCTCATGCATTCTCTCTCTCAAAAATAAATACACATTAAAATCAATAGTCTAGCAATTCTGAAATGAAGACAAAAAAACAATTCCAGGGGCGCTTGGGTGGCTCAGTGGATTGGGCAGCTGACTCTTCATTTCGGCTCCGGTCATGATCCCGGGGTTGTGGGATCAAGCCCCGAGTCGGGCTCGCACTGAGTGCAGAGCCTGCTTGGGATTCTCTCTCTCCCTCTGCCCTTCCCCTACTTGCATGTGTTCTCTCTTTCTCTCTCAATTAAAACTTAAAAAAAAAATTCCATTTACAATAACATAAAAGGAATAAATATTACAAATTAATTAGTAAACAAATTATAATTATAAATTAAATAACTAGCAAGAAATTACCACTCATTAATAAATTTAACAAAAGAAGTACAAGACGTGGATACTAAAACTTACAGAACTTTGGTGAGAGAAAGTAGAGACATGAATAAGTGGGGAGATGTTTCCTGCTGATGACCTGGAGTCTGCTGGTGGCCGTGTTTCCCAGCCAGAGTCCCCAACAACATCCCAGGAAACCTTTTTTTTTTTTTTTTGCAGAAATCGACAAAGCTGACCCTAAAACACGTATATAAAATACAAAGTTCCCGGAATAGCCAAAGCAATTTTGAAAAAGAAAAACAAAATTGGAGGGATCTCCAGTTTCCAAACTCACTCTGGGGCTACAGGGGTCAGGACAGTGTGGTGGTGCTGTGACAGACACCAGAGCCAATGGAACGCAATCGATGCAACTGCCGTTCTGGCAGCGCAGCATCCCGCGGCCCGGTGCCAAGGCGGCTCGGGGAGTCTTTTCCCACGTGGTGCTGTGGCAGCTGGACATCCCCAGGAAAAGAGGTGAACTTAGAACTTTCTCTCATCCACAAAAATTAGCTTAAAATGGATCGCGGAAACGAAAGAGCAAAACTCGCAGAAAACAGGAGAATATCTTCGCGTCCTTGGGTCAGGCTGAGAAGCCCCACGTTCGTTACCAAAATTATGATCCATAAAAGAAAAAATTTAACAATTGGACTTTGTTGAAATTAAAAACCTTTGCACTTGAGAAGACAGCGTTAAGAAGATGACAGGCCGCACACTGAAAGAAACTATTTTCAAAGAAGCACGTAATAAAAAGACTCGTTTTCAGAGCCGGTGAAGAGCCCCAGCAAGTCAAAATCAAGAGGAATAACAGCCTAAGTGAACAACCGCAGCGTATTTGCATGAAAGTGTCCCTGGAAAAGGTACACAGGTGGCCAATGAACACACGAAAAGCTGCAACCCCTCGTCGGCAGGGAGTGCGGGTCGGACTGGAGACGGGCGCCGAGACAGGCCACCACCAGACACCCGCAGGCTGGCCGCACACGTGCCGGGCGTGAGAAATCAAGCCCGGGCTCTGCCGACCCGGTGGTCAATGGTGTGGCCACTTTGGGAAATGGCCTGGAAGTGTCTTTAAAAGCTTACACACAAATCTGCCACGTGCTGCTGCAACCCCACTCACAAGGACATAACCGAGGGACAGAATGCATGCACAGGACACACAAAAACTTGCCCCAGACACTGCCACATGGGCGCACCCCTGCAGAGCCCGCCGGTCAGAGGAGCAGGCAGACCCGTGGGAGGGGGGGTGGGGCGGGCAGGGGCTGCAAGCAGGGACGAGGGGTCTTTCTGCGGTGCGGGGAGTGGTCTGAGACAGGAGCGTGGTGTGGTGCTGGCTGCCCGGCTCCGAGAACTTACTAAAAGTCATTGAATCACTTACGACGCAAAGATTTCAGGCAATAAAAAAACGGCACCACAATAAAGCTGTTCAAATAAACCGGTTGTGGGGGCGTCTGGGAGGCTCAGCCTCAAAATCAGACTCTTGATTTTGGCTCAGATAATGATCTCACAGTTGGTGGGTTCGAGCCCCACATCGGGCTCTGTGCTGACAGCATGGAGCCTGCTTGGGGTGCCCTCTCTTCCCCTCTCTCTGCCCCTCCCCTGCTTGTGCAAGTGCACACGCTCTCTCTCTAAATAAACATAAAATCAGACAGACCAGCGGTGACTGTCTTCAGTCCAGGTTGCACACCGTGGCTTCCGGCCAAAGCTTGCTGGTCTCGGGTGAAGTAATGCACAGTGAGCATCCCAGGCGTGCGTTTCTTAGCGGTGGTGCTGCCCGGCCACGCACAGTGACCAGTGACCGTGCGGGGGCCCTCTCCGCACCGCGCCCTCTGCACACGCTGGGACAGGCTTCAGGAGGGCGGCTGGTCCAGCCCGTGCACTGCTGCCACTCTGGACTCCTCAGAAAGCAGCCCTGTCCTCCCCCATCACCCATGGAGGACACGGGAACTCGCCCCCTGCAGATGCCAGCGGTCACCCTTCCTCCTGTGAGATGAGCCACGGCTGTGGGCACGCGCACAACTGTTGCACACGCGCGCACACGCCCGCCTGTCAGCCTGCTACCCCCCTACAAGGCTCTTGTGGTGAGGACCTGCGAACAGTCTCCGCTGTGTCCCAGTACCAGAAGCCATGCGTGGCACCTCGGCCCTAAGACCTGACACCCGTTCGTCTTTCTGAACGCGCAGTGTGACCTGCAGGCACTTACTCTTGGCAGCTTCCCCGTTGCCCTGCTGCAGCTGGATGCTCAAGGCGAAGGAAGACCCCTGGGCCACGTCCATCACCTCCGGACCCAAAATCACGATCCTCCTGGCTTGTGCTGGGGGAGAGCAGAGCGGAGCATGGGTGACCCGGGGCACGGGGGGCACTGCCCGCTGGAGCCCATGCCCCCCACGCATTCCCAGAGCTCCACAGGGAGGGGGCTGTGCCTGCTGTCAATCTCCTGCATGAACCACTTCACCGAGTGAGCCGACCAGTCACTAAAACAAGGCTGTGACCCCATCCTGAGAGGCATCTGTGATTTCCAAGCAACTTATTGCAAGCCTATTAAGGAGACCGCAGAGGGCCACCAAATGGTGAAGGGCTGTACATGAATGGCTTGTCTGCATTGTGTCTGCACGTGGTGGAATGTTCCAGCACATCCTCTGCTCGGTTGGGACTCTGGCCCTGCATTCCTGTTTCTGAGCCAGTGGGTCCACATGTGTGGACAAGGTGCTGCAGCCACCTGCTGAGGAGCTGGCCGGCACCTCCTGGGCCACTGTGGGGTCTGAGTGGCCAGAGACGCTGTTTTCAGTGTCCACTTCTCCCTGAGTCCCTGAGCCCCCGAGAGTGAGGACCTCTGCACAAGGGTTAGGGTTTAAAAGCAATCACTGGGGGGCACCTGGATGGCTCAGTTGGTTAACTGTCTGATTTTGGCTCAGGTCATGATCTCACGGCTTGTGAGTTCAAGCCCCGCGTCGGGCTCTGTGCTGACAGCTCAGAGCCTGGAGCCTGCTTTGGATTCTGTGTCTCCCTCTCTCTCTGACCCTCCCCCTCTCACACTCTGTCTCCCAAAAATAAATTTAAAAAGTTATAAAATTTAATTAATTAATTTTTAAAAATTTATTTCTAGGAGAGAGAGACAGACAGCGCAAGCAGGGGAGGGTCAGAGAGAGGGGGAGTCACAGACTCTGAAACAGGCTCCAGGCTCTGAGCTGTCAGCACAGAGCCCGATGCGGGGCTCGAACCCATGAACCGCGAGATCATGACCTAAGCAAAAGTCGTACACTTAACCGACTAAGCCACCCAGGCGCCCCATAAAAATTAATTTAAAAAAATTAAAAGCAATCATTGGGAAAAGCTTATGACATGAGTTGAGTTTATCCACCACATGCCAGCTAGGAGGGAGCACGCACAGGTATGTGTGCAGGGTGACAGGCGCTGGTGGCTTCACTGTGACGGTGGGGCTGGGTCAGCTCACGTGGGGGCAGCCCCCCCACGCCCATTCTGGGGGGACCAGCCAGCACCCAGCAGGGTCAGGCCAGAGCCCACCCCAGCCATTCTAGGCTTTTCCTGGCATCTGCTGAGACCCTGCTGGGGGCAGGACAGGACACGTCCTCTGAGTCCTTCACAGATTCCAACAGGGCCCCTCACTCGGGGGACGTTACTAAGGCACTGCTGGGGGGCTGGGAAGCACCCAGGCTGCCACTCCCCTTCCCAGGACCCGAGCCCCCACAGAGGAGCCCAGCCTGGCCTGGCGGCGCCTGCTACGGCCTCTACGGGCAAGGGCCCTGGGGACCCACGTGAGGAGCGTGGCTGGTCAGCTCTGAGTGAGCAGCTGCAGCCACAGGCCCGTGACCCCTGGCTCCTGGGGTGGCACTTCTGTCCTGGAGTCTAACAGGAGGCCACATGACCAGGCCGACAGCAGGAGGGGCCCCTGTGCTCCAGTCATGGTGCAGAGAGCTCAGGGAGGGGGGCCAGGTACCCAGGGCCCTGTGGGCGGGACCCTCTGAGGTTGGCACCCTCCTGCTCACACCGGGGCCACGGCTGTGAGGTCGGACTGGGACCTTTGCAGGTCATGGCCACGGGCCCTTCTGAAACCCAACTGGAATGCATTTCTCCTGAAGGGCCTGGGGTTTTAGATCCACTTCAGCGTCGCCCCCAAACACCTCCTGACCCAACCCCCCCGTGCCAGTGCCTGGGGCTGCCTGAGAGAGAATTCAGCAGACCCCGACGTGACTCTGATGTGACCCCATAAGAGGACCTCGAAAGGCCAAGGGGAGGTGGGGGGGGGCACTTACCCACCGGGTGGCCGTTGATCCACATCCCGTGGTAGATGGCCCCAGAGCAGTGGGTCATGGTGCCCAGGCCACTGAAGACGTCACTGTGCCACTGTCCCTACGGAGAGAACCGTGTGCACTTGGAGTCCACAGAGGACACGTGTGATACCGGGGGGGTGACCCCTGGGGCCCTGAGGACCCTGTCGAGAGCAAGGAATCATGAACTACTGCCGCGTGTCCATGTTGCTCTCAACTGAATAGTAAGAAGCCGCGAAGTTCGGGAACAATTACACATGTACAAAATGCAAACAAAACACTGGCTCAAAAAAGGGGTGCTTTCAGCACGAAAACCCTCTCAGTAAAGCTACTGCATGTGCGCAAACCGGAGGGCGCCCACTGAGGGGCCCGTGGGGCCCCCGCGCACACACTGGAGGGAAGGCGGCACGCTGCACACCCCACTCTGCTGCCTTCACAATAGACCTCACTTTCCGAACCACACACACGACAGGGCATTAGAATAGTGTGTTAGAGCAGCTACGTTACTTTTGTGGAAAATTCAAGGGCTTCACGGTATCTTATTTTACTGTGAATCACTCCTGCTGGAGAAGAACTTGGCCGAAGGCACGTTTGGTTCCAGGCATCCCTCCGTGGGAGCTAATTGGGCTCCACTTCCCACCCTGCCCTCCACGTGGGCTGGGCCACAGTCGGTGCCCGTGTGGACGGTGCCGCCCACGGGCCCTGTGGGACACGGCACAGCTGAGGCCGGAGCCGGCCTCTCTCAGGCCTCAGGGGGGAGGTATGGGGGCCATGGGATTTCAGCCCCGCACACCTCGGACCCCCCAAAGCTGGGAAGGAGCTCCCTCGGGCAGCTTGGGGATGAGAATTGCTGAGCACCAGAGCTTCGGAGCCAAGTCACGGTGAGGGGTGGAGGTCCGGCCACAGCTCGCCCCTGGGCCAGGACACCCGATAGCGGGCAGCCCCAAGGGCACCCAGCAGGGGCAGCGAACCAACAGCTGCAGCTGCAGGAGGGGCAGGGCTGTCCGCAGGTGGGCAGGGGCAGACGGGCCCCTGCCTCGAGGCCTGGCCATCCCGCAGCACAGCCACGTCCCTCCTGCCCAACACCCAAACAGCAGAGTTGGCCCTGCAGTGGCTCCTGCTCTCCTGAGGCTGTGCCCCGCTGGGAGTGCTGGGTGCACATGGGGCTGAGGCCGTGTCCCCTAGGCAGCAGCCCACGGGTGCAGGTGATGGGCCAGATCAGCCCGACAGGCCCTGCTCTCTCATCCTGGGCTCGGGGCGGGAAGCCCACCTGGCGGCTGCAGGGACCGAGCACCTGAGCAACCATCAGCGGGCGCTGAGCACACATGTACACGTGCGCGCGGGGCTGGGTGCACATGCGTGGCCACGAATGTATGTCTTTTGTGCGCATCTGCATGCAGGTGTGTTGTGTGTCTGCCTGCGTGTGCGTGTGGCTGGGCACTCTCACTGTGACGGCTGGGTGATCTCGGGGGGAGACAGCAGAGCTGCAGAGTCGCGGGCTGAGCTGCTGTCCATGGGTGGAGGTCGGGGCGGGGCAGGTGGCTGCCCCCGGGGCCCCCAGTGACTGCTTGCTGGGAGGCCGAGGCTGAGGCATGGAGGTGCAGCAGCCGCGGGAGCGTTTGCTTGCAGAAAACCCTGTCCCTCAGACACCATCCCCAAACCTGACAAGTTACCAGTTTCAACTCAGGCGACTGGCCTCCTGGCCGGTCACACGCAAACCCCACAGGAGCCAAACCAAATCTCCCCCTTCCCCACCACGGAGGCTCACCCTCTACCTGGAAACCACTGGGCTCAGTTCCAGGGCCCAGCAGCAGCAGGTGGCCCAGTGGGAAGTGGTCAGGCCCAAAGGCGGCGGGGCAGGGGCGGTGGCCCCCAGGGGCGGCTGCCCTTGCAGAGCAACACCTCCCTGTGGGGACCTGCAGCCTGGCACCCTTCCTCGGCCCGTCGCTCCCAGCTCTCTCTGTCCCACCGACGGCAAGAGCTGCCATTTCTGTGCCCCCTCCGTGCCCTGGGCAGGCCCCCATCTGCCTTCACCCTGCCGTGCTCGTTCCTGTCCCAGGGCAGGGGACACCCCACCCTTCGGGGATGGGAGTGGGGCCTGCAACCCCCTCTCGGCTCCAGATGCTCCCGCCACACGGACCCCCCACCCATGGGGGCACCGGAGACTCCTGGAGGCAGGAGTCACAGTTCCCACAGGTGGACACTCATCGTAAATGCTTCCTGGCTCCCTCAGGGCCGCATCAGGGCCCAAATCAACACAGGCTGAAAGCCTCTCCAAACGGCGGGATGGCTGCTGAGCCGGCCGCCGCGGCCGCCCACGTCCCAGCCATTTCCGCCACTACAACGGCAGCCTCTAGTCCCCGCCTGCGCTTCCGTCCGCCAGGCCAAGCAGCAGCGGGGTCTTGCCTGGGAAGCTGTGGACTCTCAGGTCATTCCACACCCAGGGCCTTGAGGATGAGGATGGGCCGCAGGCACACCCCCCTCCCCCCCCGGAGGGAGTCCTGCTCAGTGCCCCCAGACCCCCGCGACCTTAAACTCGCCTGCTAGAACCCGAGCCCAGACTGTGGCCCTGGGGCAGCTGGGTCTCCGCGGCTTCAAGCAGAACCACACCAGGACGAACATGCTCAGGTACGCGACGTAACGCCAGCGAAGGACCTTTTCTAATTAATGCCATAAATCATACCTGTGAAAATTCTGCCCTTCCTCAGCTGACTCGCACCCAAAGTGGGAGCCGATACTTATAAAACTGTCTCCTGGAGGAGGCCGGGCCCCCACTGGGAGGGGCGGGCGCATTCCACCTGGGGCGAGGGCTCCCTCTAACCAGTGAGCCGGCTGGCGCCCAGGCCAGGGGGAGCCCTATGGGGAGGAAGCACGGGGCCTGCGTCCACACCACAAAGACCGAGGGAATGGGGTCCAGCGTTAGGAAACGGTCCCGTGGGCCAAAGTGAGGAGCACCTGTCACCCGCGGCCGCGGAGGCTCCCCTGGGACCCTGGGGGTGATACAGTGGACTCAGCCGCCGGGCCTGCTTCTGGGCGCCCAGAGCTCCACAGGATGGGACCTGCCTGTTTGGAGCCTCCCTGGACAGAGTCGGGCTGCTGGGACAAGACTCCTGGCTCACGCCGCCACCACGAATGAGTGGGAATAAATTGTGTGAAACAAGTATCTGACTCTTTCTCATTTTAGGAAGCATGCTCTGCTAATTGATGCTATTTTTCTTCCTGAGGGAAAAATTACTGTGCTTTTATTGGTATTTTGTGAGTGCCCCTCCCTGTGCTCCCCGAATCTGCAATCCCATGCTCCCTAAATCTGCAGCCCTGTGCTCCCTGAATCTGCAGCCCTGTGCTCCCCGAATCTGCAGCCCTGCGCTCCCCGAATCTGCAGCCCTGTGCTCCCCGAATCTGCAGCCCTGCGCTCCCCCATGCTCCCAGGATCTGCAGCCCGGCACCCTGGCGGCCACTTCAGGAGGACCTGAGGCTCCGGGTCTCCCCAGCGTCCACCTCTAACTGTAGTCATGGTCGCCACGCCAAACTTCCAGACTAGTGCAGGTGACCACTTCTTTTGAGGTCATGGGCTCGCAGACCAGGTCGGGGTGGCTGGGATCAGGTCACATATGAGGAAATGGTCACAGGCCACCTGCCTGGGCCCTGAGACTGTCCAGGGTCCCTGGTCTCCCCAGCTTGTGGGATGGCCTGCAGGGGTGGCCGTGACCACACAGGCTGGCGTGTCAGTGGCATGGGTGTGAGCCCCACTCTCGTCTCCCAAGCACCAGGGTCATAGGGTGTCGTGTCTGATCTCCATGACCCCAGCTGTAAGTTCCTCAGGTTTCACAGTGTCATTGGTGGCTTTCACTGCCTGCCTACATCTGTTTCTGAAGTCAGTGGACATCTGAACCCCACATGGAGCCTGGAGCCTGGCACGGGCTCCCACGATGGCTCCAGCGATCCAGACCTTCCTCCTGCCCCTGTTCAAATGGTCCAGAGGCCCCTACTTCCTGTGTGCAGCACACCCCTGGGGTCACGGCCCCACATCCGGGACTGTGAAGGCTGGCGTGGGGACACAAAGGCTGCCGGCGTTGTGCAGACGCCAGGGAGCCGCCAGCAGGTGAAGACACACAGCCACCTGCTCCGTGCGGCGAGCAGGTGCGCCGACCAGCAGGACTCCCTCTGGGAGAGCCAACCCGGAGACGCAGCCAGTGTGCACGGAGCGGTGCCGACGGACAGCCCGGACGCCAGCAGCGGCTGGTGGGGACCACACCGCGGCCACTCAGGTAGGGCGTGCTGCTGTGTGAACATCGCAGGGACGCGGCCTGCCTCCAGGGCGCTGTCGGCCCCCCGGCTCCGTCAGGGGCTCTCTGGGGGGGCTGCCCGGTGCCTGTGGGGGTCACTGCCGTGGACACGTCCTCGGGAGAAGCCTCGAGCTCGCGCTGCTGGGCACACCCCTCCCCCCATGCAGGTGCACGAGACGCTGTTGACGGGCCCCGAGCTGAGCCGGAAGAGGGGGAGCACTGCTGGCTTCAGGGCACACCGTTTCCAGCTCTTGGAAGAAAATGCTACGTTATTTTCAGGAACGGGTTTTTTTCTAGGACTTTTTAAAGGCTCCTTAGAGTGGCCGCATCTGGGAAGTCTGGAGACAGGGCAGCAGGGATGCCGCCGGGAAGGCCTTGTGCTGTGCTGGGGGTCCTGGCCACGCCGCTCCCCACAGCCCCGACTGCGCCCCGGGGTGACCCCTCTCCCGGACCCTCTCCTTGCCTGGCGCTGACTCAGCTGACCTGAGACTCTCCCGGGAGAGCTCGGCCGCTGTCTTCTAATCTCTGAGGAAATAAAATTGCCTTAAGGATACATGGGAACGCTGGTGGGAGCGCCCGGGGCAGCTTTCTGGAGAACTCGGGGTGAAGGGTGGGGCCTCGTATGGGGCCGCCCCCCAGGGCCGAGATCAGCAGGCGGAGGCCTCGCACCGCAGCCCCCCCCCCCCCCCCCCCCCCCCCCCCCCCGCACAAGGCCGCGCCTGCGCAGTAACAAGCCCGCAGTCCCTGCACCACCGCAGCGTGGCCCCGGGGCGGTGCAGCCAGACCGGCGGGAGGGCGCGGGAGCAGGCAGGGCCGGCAAGGGCGCAGCCCGTGCACCCGCCTGGATCCGGAGCACGCACTGCGCCCACACTGGTCGCGACGGGTTTTCCAGAACAGAGATGGATGCTGGCGGGAAGGTAACGTGGTGCGCGGAACCGCGTGGAGCTCCTCGGAGATGCAGCAGCGAGCTGCCCGCCCCCACCCCGCCGTCCGGAAGTCCTTCTTCTGGGCACACAGCCCGCAGAACCGGGTGCCGGCTCGGAGAGAGCCATGTGCTCACCCACGTTCGCGGCAGCACTGCTCACAGGAGCCGGTGTCCACCGATGGAGGGACGGATGGCTCTCGGGCCGCTGTGCTCAGTGACAGAAGCCCGTCCCGCCGGACAGACCCTGGAGGCCCCCCCGTACGCACAGTACATGCAGGGGTCAGATCCACAGAGAAGGAGGCAGGGCGGTGCCAGGGGCTGGGGAGGGACTGGGCCCAGTGTTTCATGGGGCAGAGCGTCAGTTTGGGAAGGTGGAAGGTTCTGGAAACAGACCGTGGGGATGGCCGCACAACCATGTGAATGAGGTTAATGCCTCTGAACTGGACACTTCGTGGTTAAACGGTACGTTGTAGATCAGGGGTGTTTTACGAATAATATGGATATTTTTAAAGAGGGCCGACACTCTGTGTCAGGGCCCAGGGGGCTGCCCACACCCTCACGGGAGTCGCGCCTTGGGGTAGCTCCCGGCTCCCTCCAGCGGCTCTGCAGCTCCTGATTACCGATTACTGGGTGACTCTTGATGCCCGGAGGTGGGAGGTCGGGCTGAAGGTGTCCCCACAACACGGAGAGGCCCGCGCTGGACCCGGGAGCCCGTGGCCCCTTCATCGGCCAGGCCCCACGACGGACTCTGTGCGAAGACTCCGTGGCGTCTCTGAAAGGCGTGCTGGCAGCAGCGAGTGCCGTGTCCGAGGTCGCCCTGTGGCTGCAGACTGATCCCAGCCCTTCCTGGACACGGCCCTCCTCCTTTGGCCTGTCCGTCTGTCCGTCCGTATGGCTTAGGGGCTGGAGGGCAGAGGATGGACCCCGGCGCCGGCCCTCCTTCTGGGACCCTCGCGCTACTCGGGCCGTCAGGTCAGGGCCTGGGTCGCAGGGGAGGTGGCTGCTCGTGTCCCTGCCACTGTGTGCGGGTGGGAGCTGCCCAAACGGACAGCCCCCAGCACGGCGGAGGACGGGAGTCCCAGCAGCACTTGGAGCTGCTGCCAGCAGAGCAGTGTCCGGGGTCCTCGGGCAGCAGGCTCCAGGTTGGGATGCTGCCCAGCAAACGGAAGTGCAGAGACACAAGTCTGCATCGTGGGGAGATGCGGCCTGGAGGACCAGGCTTCCGCCTCCATTTACTGAGGCGCCCCATGTCGAGAACATGCCACCTCCCTCAAGGGCGTGTGGGGGCCCTGAGGTCTGCAGGCTGGGATGGTGTGGCCGCGACACGGCAGGGCGACTGTCCAGGCAGACGCCTTCTCGCTCTGTGAGGAAGCAGCCTGGCCACCGGGAGCTGCGGCCCTGGGAGGTTCTGCCCGGAACCGGCCCCCAGCCATCAAGCTGGAAGAAAAGGTCTCCCAGGGGGGTGAAGCCCGGGCAGGGCCACGAGGCCACGCTGCGGCAGGGCTGGGCTGCCCCCTGGTGGATCGCCGGGCAGGCGCCCCGGCTCGGCCCGGGGAGTGGAGGGCTGCTGCTCGTCCCCTCCTGGCTGAGCCTCGCCTTGCAGGGGAGCCCTAAGCGGGGCCCGGGTGGGCAGCCACAGCCTCGCAGGGAGGCCATGGGGGCAGCGGGGGGTCCAGGGGCCAGAGGAGCTTCCAGGAACAGGGAAATTAGGGCTCTAAAGACTGTGTTGCTCTGTCCTTCAGCCCTGTGCGGCTGTGAGGGCCCTGACCCGGGTCCTAGGCTGTGACGGCTGTCCCCGAATGTCACAGGGAGGTGAGGGAGCCCAGGCTCCAGGCCAGGACTCCCTGACTTGGGAGGCCTCCTCTGGGCCTGTGACCTCATGTTACAAGATGGAGAGAATTTAAGTGAGGGCTGCGGACAGAGCCCAGTGCCTGTGGCATGAAGCCTAGTGGGTGTGGCTGTGCACATTTGTGGGGACGAGTCCAGGTGGGGTGAGGACCCATGGAGGAGGGCCTGCCCTATGTTTCTCTTCCACTGCAGCTCTGGAGAATTACGGTGGACGGTGTGTGGTGCCATAAGGATGGATGGATGTCCTCTCGTGGGGAAGCAGGTCACAGCAGCACCTACAAATGGGCATGACGCAAACCGCCAAGCGCAGCAGCGTGGGTGCGGGACCCCTGCAGCACAGGGGCGCTGGCCTGGGTGTGGCCGTGCCGAGCAGACCTGTTTCACGAGCATCCGTGTGGGGCTTTCTGCACTACAGGCGGGCGCCCAGGCGCAGCTGAGCGGGCGGCACGGGTTGCCAGGTGCCCCCGCCCCCGCCCCTCAGTCTCAACCGCGGGGTCAGCGACCAGTTTATCGCCTCTCAGCCCCAAAGCCACCCTTCTTGGCCGGCTTTGTGCTGTGGGAACGGAGCCCTGCAGGTGTCTGTCGGCCCGCCAGCGTGCAGCATTGTCAGCAGAGGGCGCTGTGTGGACAGCCCCCCATTCAGTGGGCGTGTCACAACCACCTTAGTGACAGCCCGATTCAGTCCTGAAGTCCCTGCACCTGGCCACTCTCCCTACCCTGGGTGCCTGGTAACCACGCCAGGTCCCAGGTCCCTCTTTGGGGCCGTCTCCAGGGCCACCTGTGCATCTGCTTTTACCCCTCCCAGCGCTTCACGGGCTTTCGCCAGCTGACCACGTCCACGTTCACGCACTGGTGTGGTTTGTCCCCTGATGGAATTGGCTCCCGGCGCCACTGCCACCTGACGCTCAGGTCCTGAAGCCGAGAGTCCTTGCTTCACCTCCAACATATCCGGATGCTGTTCTCTGTGTCCCATCGCCTCCTGACGGCAGCTCCGAATAAGGACCGGGGGCACCTTCCCACAGACACCAGGGCACCCTCCTTCTAGCCTTCCTGAGATGCTCAGGACACCCCTGCCGCCCCGAGCCAGCCCGCCAGGCCCCCTCCTCCTGCCCGCACACGAGGACGCCTAGGGAAGGTGGCCAGGCCCCTGGGCACCCAGCTGCCTGCAGAGCTGACAGGCACTCTTCTGCTCTGGGCGCGATGGGGCAGGACCAGTCCTTCCCAAGACCCACATCTCTGGCTCTGCTCACTCTGCCCCAGCCGGGCACGCAGGCCAGTGTCCAGTAAGAGAAAAGAATGAGAAGTTCTGGGGTCCTGACGAGGTCTCTGATCTGCCTGGGTCTCTCCACCCCTCGTAGTGAGTAACCCCCCCACCCCACCCCCGTCAAACCCGGGGGGGCGGTGCCCACAGCAGTGAGGGGGGACGGGCATCCTCCTCCCCTTCCGCATGTGGTCAGTGGGGCATTTCTCATCAAAACCCGCTTCACTCACCCCTCAAGGAACCGAGAAATGTCAACTCATTCTCAGAGGTGACAGTGTGGGTTGTGGGCATCTCAGGAGCCGCACAGGAAAGGTACTGGCGGAAGCCCTTCGCTGCTGCCCTTGTGGGGGCGGGGGGAGTGGCACTGAGAGGCACCCTGAGCGTGCCCGGGCAGCACAGAGAGCCCTCAGATACCTCGTAGGTGGAGCCGTCGGCACAGCACAGCACCCCGTGCCCCTGACGCTGGTCCCGGACCCAGTCGCCTTCGTACTTGTCACCGTTCCTGGGGACACAAAGGCAGGGGCTGCTGTTGGCCCGGGAAGAGCCAGGTGGCGCCGCTGACTCAGACCGGCTCCTCCGACCGGGGCTCAGCACGCGCCACCGGGACAGAGGCAAAAATAGGCTCCGAGCAGATGGCGTGAGCTCCTGCCTTGCCAGGGCCTGCAGTGGGGGGGCCGCGGCCTTGGCGCCCGCTCGCCTGGCCCCCAGGTGGGTAAGACTTGGAGAGGCTACTGGAGAAGTGGGGGGACCCCGCACGGAGACGCGGCCGCCGGACCTAAAGGCGGGTCTGCTGCTGAGGAGGCCTCAGCCCACCCCCGAGCCAGGGCCCGGTGCTCCCCTCCCGGGAGGTCTTCCCTACTGCACACCCCGGTGACCGAGGTCAGTAACCGAAAGAACGGTCAGAATCCCAGCAAGAACTCAGACCGAAGCTTGTGTGGCACTGAGGGCTGGGGACACGGGGTGGCGTGCTCACCGGAAGGCCATATGCCCTTGGCCATGTCGCTGGTTGTCATGGAAGCACCCCCAGTAGACTTGTCCGTCCCGGTCCACCAGATGCCCGTATCCTAGAGGAGAGCCCGGGGCACCCAGCGTCAGCTCCTGCGTCCTGTCGGGTGGACCCACCTCCCCAAAGGGGCTTTGTGGCCTCCTGAGGGCGGGTGGGTCCAGAAGGAGGCCAAGGTTGGCGGGCCCCCAGGAGCCAGGCTGCCCTCCCAGGCTGGGGCTGTCGGGGCAGGAAGGGCAGATTTGATTTAGGGCAATGCCAGCAGCCACCACGCCAGTGAGAGTGGCTCTGGGGTCCAGCTCTCAAAGGTTCTGAGTAAGGGTGGGAGGGTGTCACTTAAGGACCCCCGGCCTCCAGAGGCTAAGGTCGTAGTGCCTGCTGTCTGGTGGAGCCCATTCCATGGCCAGGTGTGCATGTGAGCCCGTGGGAAAGCTGCCCCTCACACCCGTAACGGCAGGGCTGGGCCTCAAGTGACAGACTCAGAAGCTCTTGGCCTGCGTCGTTCAGAACCGTTCAGTAGTGCGAGCAGACACTGTAAAGGCACCGTCGGACATTGTGGCCTCTTGGCTCGGTCCTGGACGTTGCTCTTCCAGAACAGTGAGCGCTTTGGTCTTTGGGCCTCCAGGGGACGCCCACCTGCCCTGCCCCCGCCCTCCAAGAAGAGTCTGCTCCCCCCCAAATGTGGCCTCCTGACTTGCTCTGTGAGCAGCGTCACCTCGGAGGGCCTGAGGCTGTAGGCCAGGAGGGCGCCAGAGCCACCGGCACTGCTTGAGCTGCTGTGGCAGCAGCTGGAGGGGAGACCCCACACGAGGCCAGACGCTTTCCCAGCCGAGCTGGGCCAGGCTGCTGACCCCTGGGGTTGTGGGCAAACAATTATATCGCAGTTGTTTTGAGCCACCAGGTTTGAACCACAGTGATGGTTAATGGAGGTACAACGGCACGCAGGGTCCCAGGGCCATGGCCCCCCACAGACCTGGGGGCAAAGGCTCCCTGGGCAAGCGCAGGCTCCTGAGCCCACCGAGGCCCCGAGTCAGATCTCAGGGAGGGGTGCGGGCGTCCGGGGCTCCCCACGTAGTGCCCCACCACACCCTGTGTGGTCCTCACACCTTCTCTTACGCCGTGGGAGAGCTCCCCTTCATAATATCCACCGGCTTTGTACTTCATGACGCCGTGTCCTTGAGGCTCTCCCAAAACAAACTGTCCGGAATAGGTGTTTCCTGGTGCAGAGGAGGAGGGGCACAGACGTCCAGGGTTAGAGCTGCTGCCTGTGTCCCTGGTGGGTCAACAGCGAGGCCCTCCTGTCCCTGATCAGCGGTGGCAGCAGGTACCATTTCAGAATGTGCCACGGTGGCTCTTTATCTCCTAAAACCTTGGCTAATGAGACAAAGTATGACTGGGTGGATTTGGCCCTGCCATTCTGGTTACCACAGGGGCGTGCGGTTTCCTCCCCTCCTCACCTCTGGGTGCAGCCCTGCCCTAGGACTGCCCTCTCTGTGGCATCCATGTGCCCAAGGGCAAAGGCCTCTCTGGGTCAGAGTCTGGAGTGAGCCTTCCCTCCCTGGAGAAGCAGCCACCACACTTGCCTGTGAGGGTCTGAGCTCCTGGAGCCGCGGCTACCCTTCCCCTAGGAGGGCACCCTGCCGACACAGGACACCTAACAGAAACCAGGGACCCACATTTCACAGATGGAGGGGCTTTCTGTATCCAGAAGCTGGGTACAACTTAGAGCAGAGACGGCTTACGAGGGAGGAGTCAGCGCGCCCGCACCCGTCCCCACCGCTGACCTGATGAGGCCCAGATGCGGCAGCCTTCCCCTGTGATCTCCCCGTCCACGAACTCGCCTTCGTAATAGCCCCCATCTTTAAACAGCAGCTTCCCCCGACCTGGGGAAAGATCAGGATGTGACGTCAGATCGAAGTCAGAGTGACCGCTGGCGTATGCGTGTGGTCAGGCTCATTTCTCAGAGGGAGGAGCGAGGCTTTGGAGCCCTCAGGTCTCTGTGTTTGGCTCTGCCGCTGGTCCCACACTTGCTGTCTGCAAACTCACCCATATACACGCTTATCAATAGAAATGTTTCTGAAGCACGACTAACACCCACTGTTTCAGCCAGGATGACTGCAGAGCCATCAAAGTGCGGAGGAGATCCCACCCCGACCTCTTCGATGGGGACACTACGGTCACCTGGCCTCCAGCAGCACCGGGGCCGAAGGCAAAGGAGACTGTGACACAGGGCAGCGCTCAAGAAAACATTTTAAAAAGGGGAACTGGGGTGCTTCACTAGCTCAGTCAGAAAAGCATGTAATTCCTTTTTTTTTTTTTTTTTAATTTTTAACGTTTTATTTTATTTTTTGAGAGACTGAGAGAGAGCATGAGCAGGAAAGGAACAGAGAGAGGGAGACATAGAATCTGAAGCAGCTCCAGGCTCCGAACTGTCAGCACAGAGCCCGACGCGGGGCTTGAACCCATGAACTGTGAGATTATAACCTGAGCCAAAGTCGGACGCTCAACCAACTGAGCCCCCCAGGTGCCCTGTGTGTAACTCTTGATCTCAGGGTTGTGAGTTTGAGCCCCACGTCGGGGGTAGAAATTACTTAAATACATTTTTAAAAAAATAATAAAAGGGGAAACCACTCTGCCCAGGCCAGGCTCTGGCACGGGTCTCAGACATGAGCCTCCCTGCCCAGCCTAGGGGAAGAGAAGCAGAGATTTTAGACAAAGGTGAAAAATGTCTGTGTGGCAGCGACACAAGTCAAAAGGTTAAAAATAAAGAAAACACAGGGTGCCTGGGTGGCTCAGTCAGTTAAGCATTTGACTTCAGGTCAGGTCACGATCTCAGGGTTTGTGAGTTCGAGCCCCGCGTCTGGCTCTGTGCTGACAGCTCAAGAGCCTGGAGCCTCCTTCCGATTCTGTGTCTCCCTCTCTCTCTGTCCCTCCCCCTCTCATGCTCTGTCTCTATCTCTCTAAAATAAATAAATGATTAAAAAATTAAAAAAAATATATAGAAAACACTAACAGCCAGTAGACACAGAAGAGCTCATATAAGAAAATTCCAAAAGACCAATTCTCCAGGAGGAAAATGAGCAGAGGATATGAGAAGGCAGAATCCCCAGACAGACAAGCCCGTGGGAGCATAAATGCTTAAATGTGGGAAGGTCTGGGCCCACCTCTGGGGAGGACTCCCCGCCTCTTACTTGGCAATTTCTCTCCTGTAGTGCTGAAGTTTTTTGTTTTATTTTGTTTTGTTTTACTACATGATTTTCTTGATCATCAAAAGTAAACCACGAAGGGAGCCCCTGGATGGCTCAGTCAGTTGAGTGTTAGACTTCGGCTCAGGTCATGAGCTCGCAGTTCGTGAGTTCGAGCCCTGCATCGGGCTAGCTGCTGCCAGCGTAGAGCCCGCTTCGGATCCTCTGTCTCCCTCCTTCTCTGCCCCTCCCCTACTCATACTCTCTCACAAAAATAAAAAACATTAAAAAAAAAGAGGCAATTTTCACTTTGGCAAAGACAGACTAAAACCCTGGAGAGGATTTTGCACTTGGGGCTTCCCCGGCCCAGGGTGCCCCAGAGCCTCCCCAGGCGTGGGCCGGGGCGTCCCTCAGGGCCCTGCGGGACTTTCCTCAGCGCTTGTGACAGGGAGTGTAGGGCCCAGGGCTGCCGCTCCTGCAGCCACCTGTCCGCCCAGCTCCCCTGGAAATGGGCTGTGGCTGCGAGGTGGCCGCTGGGGGAAAGGACCACACACGATTCTTACCGTGTTTCTTCCCTCCTTTCCATTCTCCTTCGTATCGAAAGAAAGAATTCGGGTACTCGTAGACACCATAACCTGAATGTTGAAAAGAAAATGGACACGTGAGCATGTGGTGACACAGGTGACCGGGCTGACGACCCACGGACACTAGAGAGGGGTGGCCTCTGGGCCCTGAGAGGAGTGTGCAGGAGGCGAGCTCAGGGTCCTTGAGACGCCGCATCCGATGGGGAAGCTGGGAGACAGCTGCCGGGCGGGGGCAGGTTCAGGGCTGAGGGGAAGGGCCAGCCCTGCCGTCCCTCTGCAGGAACGCACCGGGCTCCTCTGTCCCTCGGGACAAAGCCCACACTTACACCGGAGGGTCCTGCCAGCAGCTGCAGCCCCCCAGTGCCCCGCCAGCCCCGCTTCCACCGTGCAACCTGGACTCCTGCACCTGCCGTAAAGAGGCCCAGGCTCCGCCTGAACTACCTGAGGAGAGTTCTTCCAATCTACGAGCAGCTCCCGCCCAGCCTCCGAACCGCACGTCGGCTCCGCGGCGGGCCCGGGACCCCGCCCACCCGCGGGGGTGCCCGGCTCTCAGGGTCGGGACACACGGGCTCCCCAGGGGCTTCCGGCTGGGACCCTGGCGTCTCCCTCCCACCGCGCACGGAGGTCTGGCCCCGGCCTGCAGCCATTACCGTCCCGCGGCGGCCGCCTCGGTGGGTCGCGGCGCGGCAGGCTGGAGTTCGGGCTCCCCTGACCGGCGGCTGCCATCTTGCCGCTTGGGGTTTCCTTAGCAACCAGCAAAGCTCTCCTCCATTGGCTCGTGGGCCAGTCTCTGGGCGATAGCAATCTCTGGACTGGAGTTGTGCGGTCCCGGAGCTCGAGGGCGCAAGTACGCATGCGCAACCCGGCGCGTTTCCGCCGCTGACGTCCCTTCCGCCGAGGGGACCGCCCCGCCAACGGCCTGGGCCCCCGCGCCGGAAGCGGAAATGGTTGGAGGCTCTCGGCTCCGCCCCGGGGGCCATCTTGGAGGCTCCGGAGGCGGTGCCGCACAGGACAGAGCGGAAGTGCTCGGCTGTCCCTTCCCGGACCGTGCGAAGCGCCGGCGCGGCCGCCTGCCCGCGTCCTCCTTCCCGCGGCCCTCGGAGACCGCGCTCGGCCGCAGGGAGCGGCGAGGTGCCGGCGGGCGGCGGGGGTCCGGGCGGGCTGGGCCAGGCACGGGGCGGGGGCCGTGCGGGCGCGGCGGCGGGCTAGGCCGGGCGGGGGCTGGGGCCCGGCCCCGGGGGGGCGCGCAGTGACCGCCTCCCGCCCCCGCCCGCGGGCACGGCCTGGGCGGGGTGGGCTGCCCGCCCCCGGCTCGCGCGGGGACGTCTGCTCCTCCTCCTCGGGTCCTCGCTTGGCACTGGGGCTTGTCTGTAGGATTTGGGTAGGAAAGCGTCGGTGTGAGGAGTTAGGTTGCCCAAGGTGATCTCTGGAAATACTGCAAATTACGGCCACAAAAGTCGGAAGTTCTCCAGGCCGACTTTGCGCCCCCGAGAGTGCTCCCGAGCCGGCGATCGCGCAGCCCACAGCCGCCCGCGCCGGTGAACGTTCTTCGGGGCGCTCCCTCAAGTCCCGAGAGGAGAGCGGCCTGTGAGCCCCGGAAGTTTGCCCCGGGCTCGCTCCTCTCAGAGGGGCTGGGCTGTCCGTGGGCCTGCGGGGTCGAACCCCCCGTGGGAGAGGAGCGCCCGCGGCGGCCGAGTCCCAGATCCTGCTCGGCGCAGGGGGTGACCTCGGCCAGGTGCGCTGTGGTCAGGGCCAGGTGCCCACGTCCAAGAAGGGCACGCCCAGGGGAGGGAGGAGCTCTGGCCGAGGAATGCGGTTTTGCCGAGGAGGAGCAGGTGACGTCTGGAAGGGCATTTGAGCGGAGGGAACGGCACCAGAGATTGTGGCGAAACTCTCGTGCCTCGGACCTAGGAGGAATGAGGGAGGAGGGCCCAGTGTCCCCCTCCCCGCCCAGTGCCTGGCGGGATGTAATCCTGTAAGGGCCACTCTTGCTGTTTGAGGAGTGTGGGCTCTGTGGCAGGGAAGGGTCCCAGAACTGGGCACATAGAGAGTTGTGTGCAGCTTCAGGCATGACCCTCGTGGTCTCCTTGGAAGGGTTTTGTTAAAGTGCTTTTTCCTTTGTTTTCTTTGTGACTGAGCGTTAAACAGTAAACTTACTGTTATGGAACTGGTCCTTTTAGGTGATGGCCCAGCAGTGGGCTAGACAACGTTCTCCCCTGAAGAAGCTCGCGTTCTTATAAGACACAGAAATAAAGAGGAAGAAAATTAGTAAATGGTTGTTAGGTAGAATAAAAACCAGGTGACATGAGTGACTTTGGGGATTGTTGATCGGAAGGGCCTCTCCGAAGAGGTGGCCTTCAGCCTGAGCAGGGGAAGAGGCATGTGGACAGAGAAGCTGGTGCGAGGCTGGCCCTAACCCAGAATCAGGGCTGGCCCGTCTGGCGGAGGCTCCCTCTCTGCCAGGCCCTGACGGCCGACACGGCCAACTGCCCTCCCTGCGAGAAGCCTTTGGGGAGGGGGCCGAGGTGCCGTCTCCCCCTTTCACACGTCAGCATGAAGTGTTGCTCAGGTTCTACCGCTAGAAGGTGACAGAACCCTCTAAAAGTTTAGTTCCTTAATGTTGCCACGATGGTGACTTTCATGGAGACGTGGGGAGTGGCGTGAGGCTGTTTGTGCCACTGGCCAGACAGTCAGAAGTTGGCTGACGTGTGTCGGAAGGTTTTCCGCTCTGTCCTCTCGTATTAGTGCGAGCTCCCAGGGCCCGCCAGGCACATCCCCGCCCACGTTGCTCTTCCCGCCTCAGTTCGGGTAAAGGCGTTCTGGTGCAGAATAGTTTGGTCACAGACACGAGAAAGAAGGGGACGTTTGTGAGGATCGTAGGACAGGCACGTTACTGATGTAGCTTTCTGCTGGTCTGGCTCTGGCCTCAACAGGGAGGCCAGCCGTGGGAGAGTCTCTCCGTTGAATGTACACCCGCACCTCCCTCGAAGAGATGGGCCTGGCTTCAGGCATGTAATTGTACTTCCTGCATCTCCCGTGAGAGCAAAGGGCATTTCTGGGGCTCCTCCTTGACACTTGAGGCCTCTACCCATTTTTCTGCCCGCTCCAGGAACTAGTGCTGTGGGATCGCAGTTACACGTTGATGCAGACTCGTTTGGGAGGGTGCCGTGCACAGGTTTGGGGGCAGCGCTGAGCTCTGGCCGGGCATCTTCATCAGCACCTTGGATGGAGAACCCGAGGTCAGGCAGAGCTGCTCCTGACCTTGGGCAAGTGGCTTAAACTATTTGAGACTCAGTGAGACGGGACTGATAAGCCACTTCAGGTGGTTATCCGGGTTCTCATCAGTTGATTCTCCTTGTGGAACCCACGACGGGTGGAACCCAGAGGCAGGAGCCAGGGGGGTCCCTTCGCTTACAGACGGGGGGCTGGGCACAGGCCGGGGCTCCCTCCCTGGGAATCATGTGGCATTTCCCTGTTCATGGAGTGGAGGGCCAGGACGTGCACGGCCGGCTGCCGGTGCCCTGGGAAGCAGCCTGAACGGGGAGCAGGGAAGGGCCGGGAGAAGATGGGGTACCGAGGGGAGCCCTAGGAATGGAGCAGGGGAGGGAGGCATGGGTGCAGCGGCCCCAGGGAAGCTGTGTCCACACGACTCCACGGTCAGCAAGGGCGGCTCCCAGGGGCCAGCGGGAGGAGTGCGGCCCAGGTGATATTAGCAGAAACAGAGGTCCACCCTGTGCTGCCCTGCGTGTCACGTGCCAGCTGGCTCTCCGCCAGGGCCTCTTGCTGTGTCTTTCTCCTGGACAGCCCATGGTGGAGACACCCAGAAGGAAGAAACCGTGCATGCTGAGAAAATGTGCTTGGTGGTATTGATAGAAATGGGGTAAAATGATGAAATCCTCGAGCGCTTCTTGTTTAACTTGAAGTCTTTTGTGTGTCTTTCTCAGGTACAGAATGTCTGAAGGGGACAGCGTGGGAGAGTCTGTCCACGGGAAGCCTTCTGTGGTGTACAGATTCTTCACCAGACTCGGCCAGGTCGGTTCCTCTGTAGTTGGAGCGGAGATCGAACGGGCTGCCTGGGGTTCCTGCCGGGCGAGTGTGCTGGCCGATCGCGCACCCAGGAAGAGGGGCGGACCCGCCCCCAGCCCCCCTGCCCAGCTGCGCTGCGCTGCCAGCTGCTTCTGTCTTCCGTGCCTCTGTAAAGGGCTGTGCGGTGGTTTAGGCCTGGGGGCCACGTATGCTTGTTTTGTGTGCTTTTCCCCGACTGCTTTTACAAAGACGAAAACACTTCTTAGCTCCCAAGTGGCACGGCTGTGCCCTTACCATCCTCTCTCCTGTCCACCCACCTCCCCATCCACTTGGCCAGGGGCCCTCAGGCCCCCTCACCCAGCTCTGCCCTTGTTTTGTGGGCTGTGCGGAGGCCTGCAGTGGTCAGCGGTGCCTGCAGCCACACGCCCACACCGGGTCCAGAGGTCTGACTCGGTGAACGGGTGCACATACTGATGTTTTGGCTTAGAATGAAAAATATATGTGTTTTCGTATAGGTGGATTAGAAGGAACTTAACAGAGGACCGTGGGGGAGAAGAAGGGGAAAAATAATGGGGGAGAGGGAGGGAGACAAACCCCGAGAGACCCTTGAATGCTGAGAACAAACTGAGGGCTGATGGGGGTGGGGGAGAGGGGGATGGGCACGGAGGAGGGCACGTGTTGGGATGAGCGCTGGGTGTTCTATGGAAACCAACTTGACAATAAACTAAGAAAAAATATATATATGTGTTTTTAAAATTAAACATTTGGAAAATTTCATAATTACTGAAGACAGGTGATTTTTATTTTTATGAATGATTGAAATTTTTCATACAAAATTAACAATTGAAAAATTAAACTTAATTTGAGAATGAAAATTAGTGCACGTACGTCTGCTAATTACCCGTGCGTGCACACGCATGTACAGCTAGAACCAAGGGCTCCTTCCGGAAGCTCCATTGCTTCGGTGCCCACACCGCCGGGGTCAGCCTGTGGCTGACTGGTCCGAGAGCAGCCACAAGGTCTGCCTGGGGCTGCTGGGCAGGGCTGAGGCCAGCTTGGGGCGGCCGGAGGGGGGAAGGGGGGGGGCTTGGGACCGTGTAAGGTGCACACACTCCCAGCGCTCTTGGGTGAAGTTAGGTGTGGTCACAACGACTGCTGAGGCTGCTGCTCCAGGACCGTCTGCTAAGAGGGAGTGTCTAGAGTGTGTGCTGACAGGCTGGACCTGCCCCGGGAGTGACTGCAGTTGTGGGTTAGTCGTAGTCCCTGCTCAGTGCTGGACACTTAAAGGTCTGCAGCCGAACGTCCACAGGAAGTGTGCTTTGCAGCAGGCATCCCGGGGGCTGCACAGTGCATGTGAACTCTTGTCTTTCTAGATCTATCAGTCCTGGCTAGACAAGTCCACACCTTACACGGCTGTGCGATGGGTGGTGACACTGGGCCTGAGCTTCGTGTACATGATTCGAGTCTACCTGCTGCAGGTGGGTGTGGCCGGCTCCCAGGGGCCCGGGTGTGGGGGGCTGGTTTTCCTAGGTCTTTGGGGGAGGAGGTTTTGCCGTGAAGGAAACCACCTCTGATAAGTCAATTTTCAGTTAAGGATTAAGTGTAAGAAAAATTCTGGCGACTGTATTATAAAACAGGATTGTCCGCAGTTCACCCTAGGTTTGTCATACCCTGTGGTGAGAGTTCCCAGGACAGTCTTGATGTCCACCTAGGGCCTGGTGACACTCCACTGGCCTGGCCTGGACAGCGGACCCTCTGGTGTCCTCCAACCCTGCCTTGGGACTCCCGCTGTGCGAGACCCTGGGATGACCAAACCTTCTGGACCAGCCACCTCGTTCCCTGAACATCCCGAGGGCTTAGCTGTTTCTCTGTCACCTTTCATGAGGCCGAGGAGAGTATGGGTAGTTGAATCTGAGACCTAGTGACCGGAGGTGGGTTTGAGGCTGTTTCTTCAGCTCAGGTGATGTCCTCAGACATCCCCTTTGCCGTGTGATCTCCAGTGCCCCCTGGTTCCTAGGCGTGAAGTCCCTGGAGGCCGTGGGTGGAAGGGATTTGATGTTCCCTTACATCTGGAGGCCGGCAGGGTGCACGCCTTGTCCAGAGCCTTTTCTCCTCTGTAGCTGGGAAAGGTTTTCCTCTTTTAAAGCAGATGCCTTCGTTCCAGATGTTTCCCAGGATATAGGAGGGCACGGGCCTGCTGGTCAACACGCTTGTGTCCCGGGCTCCACGTGTGTCTAGTGCTGTGGGAAATTCTCACTTGAACTGAGCGTAGACTCTTGTGCGTTGGCCGTGCGTGTTTCCTGTATGTGAGCCTGACACCGTTCAGCACGGGGGCCGTGGGGCCGTTCCGTGGTCCCCGTGGCTGGACTGCACGGCTGGTTTAAAGTTGGTGTTGAGTTTACTGTCATTGTCTGTAGGGTTGTTGTTTGAGTGGGAACTTGGTCCATTCCGTAGTAGACAGAACGACCCAGAGGCCTTGATGTAGCGGTGCTGGCGGGACGGGTGCATCTCGCGCAGGCTCACCTTTCTGTCTTCTGAACCGAGTTCGCACCTGCTTCGGCATCGCTCAGCCGTGGTGCCGCAGCTCGGAGCGGCGTCAGCGGTAGACTGCTGGCATCCACGTCTAGCCTGTAGTTTGCACGTCTAGACTGGAAAAATATTAAGGCAGAAAGATCTCATCTTGTTTGCATGCAAATTTTTTAGGCTTTTAGAATCAACACGGCATGTGTTGGTCTCATCAGGTACGCTTGACGCAGTGCGTATGTCACGGGTTGTGCCGGCCTCTCCATGTATTTGCATCTCCCGGGTGGGTTTGGCCACCCTGAGTCTCATTCTTGACTTCCTCATTTTCCGGTTCTAGATTTCTTCTGGGCAGAGATTATTAGCACCTGTGACCAGTGCGGCGTGCTGTGAGGGGCCCACTGGAGGGAATGGTGGCCAGCACATCCTGAGTGACGGCTCAGGCCCCGGGCTCTGGTTCAGGCAGCATTGGCAAGGCGGGGCCTGGCCCAGGCGTGCCCACCAGCGCCACTCGGTGCCCGGTCCATGCCCGCCCGGGGCCGTGGCGCAGCTCAGGCGGGTGGCTTTGTGAAATCGTCCTCTGCTGCGTTCCCGATGTGGGGGCTGGTAGCTTCAGGCACCACGTGCGAACAGCTCCAGCCTTGGAGTTCTCCGTTTGTGCCGTCCATGGTCACGCTCACCAGGTCTTTGAGATACACTGTCGTCATGGGTGCCCGCTGTGCCTCTCTGTCTCTTGTTGCTATCTCCTCCTGTAAGTCAGCTGTGAATACTTAGAAGTTCAGTTAAGACGGGGTCAGACGTTCCCGGTGCGCCAGGCGGGCCGGTCCGGGGGCGGGTGTTGAGGCGTGCCACTGACCGTGCCTCCTTCCTTCTCCTGCAGGGCTGGTACATCGTGACCTACGCCTTGGGGATCTACCACCTCAATCTTTTCATAGCTTTTCTTTCTCCGAAAGTGGACCCTTCCTTGATGGAAGACTCAGGTAGGATAGAGGCCGTCCGCTAGGTTGTTTGTTGGGAGAGTTGTGGGTTTGTGTACTTCACAGATTGCCTCGTTTTCTCTAGAAACCTTTGAAATCTAAACTTCTGACACTGTCATTTTGCTGTTTAAATGTATGTAGAACCCTGGTGATGACAAATCTGTGTGTAGAGCGAGGTCTTACACCTTTGCAAGCACGTGGGCCAGGTGCTCCGTTCTGTAGACGAGGGAGGGGAGGCGCAGCGTTGTGGGGCTTGTTGGAGGCCACGTGGCGGAGTGCACGGGGGCAGGGGTGGCACTCACAGCCAGCCTCTCAGAGTCCTGCTACACTCAATGGGTAGGTCCCCTTCCTGGGAAACAGGAAGTTTCCACGGGCAGCTTGCTGGGACCAGCGGAGGCCACTGGGATCCTGACCACTGATGGTTGGGCCCCGTTGAGGGTAGCGCTTTCTGATTTCCCGGATGATGGGTTGAAAAGTTCTCATCTCACGCTGCTCCTGGCCATCCCTGGGCCAGGTCAGGGGGCCATGTCCACACCTGACTGGTTGGCCTGGGAGGGGGGCACACAGACAGATGGGGGTCCTCACTCTGCCAGCATGTCTGGTGCCACTGTTGTAAAAACTTAGACGCAGCTGCCTGCTCACATAATCCTCCTCGTGATGGCAGATGCGCACTTCCCGAGTACTAGACGTTTTCTCCAGAATGTTCACATTGTGACCAGAAGCCTGTGCCTTTTTTCTCTGGGCTGTTTAATGAAAACAGTAAAGGAAATAGCACTTGGTTTGTGGTCATTTGGGGGAATTAGGAGGTGACTGAGAGACCTTGTAGGCCTCAGTTTCCCCCTGTGTAGCTGGGCAGGGTGGGTGGGGCAGCCTGACTGCTCATGGTTGGTGAGGAGGGCAGCTTCCTGAGCGGCCTTTTGCCAGGCACATCCCCTGTGGGCTCCGCTGGCGCGTGCCTGGCCACCAGGAGGCGCTGCAGCATTCATGCAGTTGTTTAAGCCGGGCAGGCGTTCGTTCTAAAACATTCTGGGGCTGCCTGTGGCTCAGTCGGTTGAGTGTGTTTGACTCTTGATTTCAGCTCAGGTCATGATCCCAGGGTGGTGGAATCGAGCCCCTCATCAGGCTCTGTGCCGAGCGTGGAGCCTACTTAAGATATTCTCTCTTTCTCTCCCTCCCCTCCCCTCACCCCCTCCCCACACCTCTCCCACTTGAGCGCATGTTCTTCTCTCTCTGCAGTGAATTGCTATTTTTTATTTTTTGTGTGTGTGAAAGGGAGAGAGTGTGCATATGCACATGTGCCTAAGTGGGGGAGGGGCAGACAGAATCTCAAGCAGAACGCACGCTCTGCGCAGAGCCATGTGGGTCTCGATCCCATGACCCTGCGATCATCCTGGGATCGTGACCTGAGCTGAAATAGAGTCGGACACTCAGCCGACTGAACCAGCCAGGCGCCCTATGGTGAATCGATTTCTAAGTCAGCTGAAGATTCATGTTGTGTTTGGTTAACTCACGTAAATCTGTTGTCTCACACGTCAGTCCTGCTCGATCAGAAGCTTTAGGGAGAAGCTCATAAATGCAGTGTTGGGGACAGACGGAGGAGACACGTGCCCTGTCTCACTGACATTCTCCCTTTCAGATGACGGCCCCTCGTTACCAACCAAACAGAATGAGGAGTTCCGGCCTTTTATTCGAAGGCTTCCAGAGTTTAAGTTTTGGTGAGTGTCCTTAGGGTAGTTGAGAAAGAGACTTGTCCTCCGTGTGACGGGGCTGAGAATAGAGGTTCTGGCTCCAGTGGCCGTGGACGCTTCTTAGAGAAACGAGACATTCGTTGTGCGGTTTGGACACTGACTCGTAGGGGGTCCTGTGCTCAGTGAGGCGTGGGGGCGGGTCACAGGGGCCTCTGTGGGACAGCCCGGTGCCGGGGGGGCTTTCCTGGTTGCCAGTTCGCACCAGTGCTCCTTGAAACGAGCAAAAGAGAAGCTGCTTCGGGCCAGAGGGTCCGGGCATGTTGCAGCTGCGGGGTCAGGAGGGAGATGTGCCTCCTCGAACTGCACCCCTGCTCGTGCCGTGCTTGGGATGGGACCTGGCTTGTCCCCGCAGACCTCCCGTAGGTGGTGATATCTGTGCGTTGTTGCACAAGGAGGGGTGTGAAAGGTGGACAGGTGACCCCCCCACAGCATTAGGGCGGTGACCTCATCCGTATTTGTAGGAGCAAAAACCCAAGGGGAATAAGCTGCCACCCTTTACTTTGCATCCCAGATGCATGTGGGGGACTCGGAGGCTCCTCTGCAGTCCATCTGCTGCGGGGGGGGGGGGGGGGGGGGGGGGGGCGGGGGGTTACTGAAGTGAGGACACTGCCCGGGAGGAGCAGGTTGTGGGCGGGATGGCCCCGCAGGCCCCCAGGGAAGTCTGCCTTTGTCCTGCAACAAAGGGAGACCCAGGTAGGCCCGAATCAGTAGGCAGGGCCCTGAGCTGGAGGCAGCGGCCGGGACCCCCTCCTCGCCGCACAGCCCAGGGCGTCCACGCGGCAGACATGAGCCCCCCGAGGTGTCCTGGAGCTGTTGGCCTGAGTGGCGAGGTTTTGTACCCCGTGTGATTTTGGAAGAAAACAGGACTCTCAAGGGACCGAGGAAGTGGGTGCCTGGTCGCGTGCTGTGCGCTCCGTGGAGGATGCGCCGTGCCACTGCTGCCCCGAGTAGGGATGTGGCCGTGGCCCTCGGTGGCCGGGGGCCGCCAGCGGCACTGACCACCTCCCCTGCTTTAAGGCACGCGGCAACCAAGGGCATCCTCGTGGCCATGGCCTGCACCTTCTTTGAGGCTTTCAATGTCCCAGTGTTCTGGCCCATCCTGGTGATGTACTTCATCATGCTTTTCTGCATCACCATGAAGAGGCAGATCAAGGTGAGCGCGGGCGGCACCGGGAGGTGCTGACGGAGGGCCCCGCCTGGGTCTTCTCTGTACACGAGTGTCCTGAAGCTTCGGCAGGTTTGCAGCAGGGACAGGGCACAGCCCCTTCGCATCAAGGTGGCCACACAGACCTGCCCCACAGTCTAGCTGTTAGCAGGCAGCTCTTCGGGGGCCGGTGGGAAAGGCCCTCAGTTCAGCCGCGCTGTCCTCTCCGGCGTGATGTCCCCGGGGGCTCGGAGCCCAGGCCCTGCTGGACAGTCACGGTGTGTCACGCTGACGGTACCTCAAACACATCCCAGGGCAGCCTGTCCCCCCGCGTCCCCACCCCCACCCCCGGGTATCGGCAGGGTCCAGGCACCTCCCATCCTGGGGCCCCAGCCCCGCCCCAGCCCTTCCTGCATGTACGGGGTTTTAAAAACCTTTCCCCCACTCTCGGGATTTCCAGGGAGCTCGGTGGGCTTGGGGGGCCCGGCGCGGGCAGGAGAGTCTTGCCAGGTCGCTGTGGGGGAGGGGACTAGAGGCCTGTTGGGTGCTGGTTTCGTTGCCCTGTGTGTAGAGAAGAGCAGGATTCCGATTTGGAGAAGGCTCGTCGCGAACGAAGCCGTTGTAAACTGCACCTGTTTGTCCGCAGCACATGATAAAGTACCGGTACATCCCGTTCACGCACGGCAAGAGGACCTACAAGGGGAAGGAGGACGCGGGCAAGACGTTTGCGAGCTAGGTGCTCAGGCGGCCCCACCGGAGGCCCAGGACGCTTCTGCGCCGCCGTAGCCACGCCTTCTTCCGCCACATTAAGTAGTTGATTTCGAGGGAGTCGAATTTTCTTTTTAAAAAGGAGCTTCAATTATTTGTAACTGAAACATCAGGTTCTTGAAGAAACTGACATTTAAACCAAATTGCATTGATTTATTTTTCAGTGACATTCAGGTGTTCTAAAGGATGGAATTCTAGTAAACTGCAGGCTGGGGGGAGGGGAGGGGCAGGTAGTCGCGGTCGTCGCGCGGCCCTGGTGCGGCCCTGGTGCGGCCCTGGAACAGACCTGCACGGGAGGAGCCAGCTCTCGCCCCCGCCGCCACGTCGCCCAGCCGGAGGATGAGGCTAACCTGATTCCTGCGCTTTGGAAGAACATTTGAAAGGTGACTTTCAAGGAACTCTGGAGTTCTAATGCCAGTTTCCCAGTTTCATCTCACCAGAGATGTTTGAAGTTGGTCTCTATCATAATGACTCAAAACTCTGTTCTTAACTACCGTGATTGCTTTTGAGGGCCTGGAATTATAAATATATATATTATATTTTAATTGTTTGGAATTATTTTGACACATTTCTTTGATACCTGAAGAGTTGTTTGTTTTTGATTAATTTAAAGTTGATCTCATGCAGCGGCCCCTTTATAGAAACAACTGGCGAGAGCAGACCAATTTGTGGGTTTTAACACACGGCTTCTCACTTTCTATGGGAAAACAGAACTCTGACCCGCATGTCAACTTTTTTGATGTGATAAAAACAATACTCGTAAACATTTTACTAAGTGACTTTTTAATTCCAACTTTATTAAAGACGGTGTCCCCTTTCTCGTGGCGTCTTTATCTGAACACTACAGCGAGCTGGTGCCAAGCAGGCCCGGCCAGGAGCCCCACGGCCGCTGCAGGGGTGAGCAGGGCGGTCCCGGGGGTGCGGGTGCTGGGGTGCAGACCTGCTCCCTGAGGTGCGGGTGCGCAGCTCTGGCCAGCGTCCCATCCATCGAGGGTTTCAGGCACTGATTGTGCTTATTGTCTGGCTTTTCTTTTGCCAATTTTTGGAGAGCTGAAATTGAGCTCCTCTTGATTCTGAGAGGCCAGATTAAGACCTTTTGTGTACATCGTCCGGTATTTTAATCTTGGTATTTAAGTGACTTTTCAAATCCGTACTTTTAACGTGACACTGTAGCACCAGAGATGCTCAAACTCCAGATGCTTCCATTCTTCGTACTGTTTTCTAGCAAATGCTCAGGCTCCAAACAGGACAGGAAATTGTTTGCATTTGTTCAGAGCATCGGTAACGGGCCTCAGGGACTTTGGAGCCTCTCGGGCTCCTCCCCATCCAGGGGTCGCGGGGCCTGTTGTGGACCCACGTGTTCCCGAACAACCGTGTGCAGGCCGCTCTCAGAAGCCCACGATGTGAACTCGCACAGGGAACGCGACATCCTGACCGCAGGTTCTGACCCTTCATGGACCTGATTTCCGGTTCACCCTTCTGGCCTTAATTTTCCTACATTCTGCGGGGCTCGTTTCCTAAAGTTTATGGCAAAGTCTTAGCTCTGGCACAAGTTAAATACTTTTGAAGGCCTAAAAGTAACAAAACTGTGGCAGGAAGCAGGTGTGAGCAGCCAGCGTGCCCGGCCTCGGGGAGGGCTGAGCTCCGGGCGCCTGTGAGTTAGGTGTTGAGCAGCAGAGAACCTCCCCGCAGCAGCCCTGCACCCAAACTGCAGGCCGACCTCCGCAGAGACACAGACTTCACCTTCTAGGATGGGAAACAAACGAGTGTGTGTTAAGGGTACGTGCCGACCTTGGGTAGAGCCTTTCTGCTCTGTGAACGGATGTGCCTGAGCCACAGGTAGCTGCCTCTGGTGACGAGGGCAAGGATTTGGGTCTTTGTGGCTGGTGGCTCAACGGCTGTTGAGCCATGTGCTCTGCTCTTCGCCACACTTGCCCGTTCGGGCCAAACCCTCACCACGGGCTCGACACAACCGTTCTCTCAGCACGTGAGCTGAGAAACGACCCGGCTATGCCACGGTGGCGGTGTGGCGTGGCTGGCCCCCCAGCGGGACTCTGCTGGCCGCCAGCGCCGTGGGCTCGGGGTCCACAGAGCAGGTGGAACCCAAGCCTCAGACCGGCTGTGCCGCCGGCAGATCCAGCCTCTGTCTCCCAAGCTTCTGGCAGAGTTGCTACGTGACACGAAGTAAAACTTGAGAATGTAATGTTTCTGTGCGGGTTAACCTCGGGAACGGATAGGGACTGTCCTGACGCTGAGGCTCCTGGGCTCCTCTGTCCTTGGGCAGGTTAGCGATAGTGTCGCAGGTAGACGAGCTTCTGGGGAGGGAACTTCTCCCTGCAGAGAGGGCACTCCATCTGCAGGGGAAGCAGAAGGGTCATGCGGGCCGCGCGCGCTCCCACAGCAGGTCTCCTGCAGTGACACATGGTACGTGCACGTGTCTCTCTCAACTTCGGATTAAGATGATTTCAGGGGCACCCCAGGGGTTCAGTCGGTTGAGCGTCTGACTTTGGCTCAGGGCATGATCTCATAGTTTGTGGGTTTGAGTCCCGTGTCAGGCTCTGTGCTGACAGCTCAGAGCCTGGAGCCTGTTTTGGATTCTGTGTCTCCCTCTCTCTCTGCCCCTCCCCCACTCGTGCTCTGTCTCTCAGAAGTAAAAATAAAAACATTAAAAAAAATTTTTAAAAGAAAAGACGATTTTAAAAACCCACTTTTCTCAGTAGTCACAAACCTGAAGAGAAGGCCTCAACCCTGGGGTAGCGGAGCTGGGGACACTGACCAGGCCAAGGAGACAGCCAACCTGTCCCATGTGGTGATGGGCCGGGCGAGGGCACACCTGGCTGCCACAGAGGGCTGGGTCGGAAGGGCGGCAGTAGCTGCGCTTCCAGAAATGAGCGAGCATGTCCTGTCCAGCTCAGTCCTTGCGGCCCCGCCCTTGAAGGACAGGTCGGATTCCCTTGTCCCCAGGAAGGTCCGCGGATCTCCTGCTAGGTGTCGCTGCCCGGGACCGACCCTGACCGGGACCGTACCTGTGTTCTCGGGGAATCCCTTGAATGGTAGCAGGGGCCCCAAAGTGGAGGCTATGGTACAATCCAGTGGGACCCGCCCAGTAAGGACACTTCATGGGGGGTGGTTCTGAGTCCGCTCCACCCAGGCTGTGAGGCCACGGCCACTGTGAGCCCCGTGCATAGGCTCTAAGCAATGCCCCTTGGCCGATCTGTGGAGGCAGATGTCTCCAGGTAGGAGGAGAACAGGTGTCTAACTGAGCATCACATCCCTTGTTTATCTCACCTGTGTGCGCACCCCCTCCCACCCCCAGGCCGTGGGGGCCCAGGAACCCAAGTCTTCCCTGGAGTCAGCCCAGAGGGAAGAGAGGACGCGGCATTCCCTGCTCTCGGCAGACCCAGACCCTGGCTGGGTAGACCCCACCACCCCGTGGTCTCGCGAGAGTGGGGCAGGCAGCTGTGCATCCTGGGGGCGCCCCCGTGGGCAGTAACAGCAGACATCCACCCACCGGGGAGGGCCGTCCAAGGGGCGTGCGGGGGGCGGGGGGGGGCGCTAGGAGCAGGACCTCGCGGCCCGGCAGCTGCCCCAGCAACACCTCAGGCTGCACGGCCGCCGCACCTTGACTCCAGATAGGCCCCGCGTGCGGCGCATCTGGGAGGTTTAAAAGGCTCCCACCCTCTACCCCCCCCCCCGGGAGAGGAGGTTTCTGGGACAGGCTTCCTTCCGGATTCCCGGGTGGCCAGTGGCGCCTGCTTGTGGGGCCTGCCTCCCCACTCACGGCTGCGGACCCTGGCACACCCACCTTGGTGTCACACCACTGGGTGATGCACTCCCAGCAGAACAAGTGGCCGCAGGGCGTGGCTGTCGAGTGTCTGCGCTCCTCCAGGCACAGGGTACACAAGGAGTTTCTGGAAGGGGCTTTCTCTTCCACGTGGCTCCTGGAGACGTGGCAGGGAGAGACCGTAATTTAACCTCCAGGGTCCTTGCAGTGCCTGCCCTGATCCACCAGAACGCTAAGTCCCCAGCCACAGCCCTGTCCCGGGGACCGGCTCCCGCACCTGCGGTGAGACAGGGCGCGATGCAGCTTCCACTCCCGCCGCGCGCGCTGCCTCTGCCGGAAGCTGTAGAGCTGCAGCCCCACGGACAAGGCCAAGTGCAGCAAGGAGATGAATCCCAGCAGCCTGTAGCTTTCACGAGCCCTCGGGTCCTCTGCGGATGGGGAGTGCACGCGAAGCTGTCAAGGGTCAGAAGGAACAATCACGTGATCAGTAGACACAGCACCAAGCCCCGTGGGGGCCAGGACACCCCCTGGCAATAGAGTGCCCAATGGGATGAGGCCAAACCCTGCCCTCCTGGCACACAATATGGGGGGGCCCTCTTGGCTGAGTGAGGAGGGCAGGGGTGCCTTGCAGGGGCTGAGTACCGGGTGGGAGACGATGCAGGAGAGCTCAACGCCTCATGCCCAGCGGGACCAAGCGCCGAGCAGGGCTCCCATATCTGCAGTCACTGGCTGCAGATGGGGATTTGGGGGGTGAAGGGGCACATCTGAGGACCCACACTGCAGAGAAAGCACTTGCAAAGCAGCCGGAGAAGAACCCCAGTGGGCAGGGAAAAGGCACACAGGCAGGTAGTGCTAACCAGCTCCTCTGTCATGTACGCGAAGTTCCCCGCTTTCGGGGAGACACCTGCCCCCCGTGGCCCTGCAGCTACCAATGGAGGCAACTTCCGGCCACACCCCTGAAAAGAAAGCCGGCTGCCCTCCACTCTGGTCTCCCTTCCCTCAGCTGAGAGCCCCCAAGCCAGGCCCCACGCACCCGGGCAGAGGAGAGCTGGGCAGCAGCGCCTGGGGCCCCAGGAGAGCAAAAGGCTTCTGTCTGGGCGGAGACTGCGTCTGTCTCCAGGCGCTTCGCTAGGACTGCTCAGTACACACCCTGGCTGACGCTGGGGCGGTGAGCCATCAGAGCCATCAGCTCTCACGAGTGAGCGCAGAGGGCTGAGGCTGGAGAGGAGAGAGCCAGGCACCCAGGGTAGTGTGGCCAAGGGAGGCGAGCAAGGGTGTGGCCAAGGGGCCTGAGGCGAGACTTTCTGGGTGAATCGGGAAACCACGGCACCAGGTAAGGAACAGGATGCGAGGTGGGGCTGACTGGAAGGCCTGGACCAGGGAAGACCCTGCCAGCAACAGGTGTCCCCGCACGTGACCCTCCACCGGGGCAGCTGGGAAGCAGCGGGCATGGACCCAGGAGCCTGAAGCCTCAGGTGGGCCTCAGATTAAACGCAGGGCGGCTCACAAGTGCTGCCTTCAGGGAGACAGATGTGTGCTTCCCTCAGAGCTTCTGGAAATTGGACTTCTAGGACCTTCTGGCAAAACACGACAGGATAAAACCTTGGCTTTTCAGTAGAGGACCTTGGCTCTGACGCTGTGGCTGTTAGCCCACAGAACCCGGGCGCAAACGGTCCAGAGCACAACAAGCAGGACAGCACCGGCTACTTACGTAAGTGACTCCCGTGAGCCTCTTGGCCAGGTGGTAGAAGGCACCGTGGATGTAGAACCAGGCAACATGGAGCCGCTGAAGGCAGGCGAGGCCCTGCCTGAGCGCCAGCACGGCCCGCAGGAGCACCCTCTTCTGCTGCTCAGTCAGGGCAGCCACGCGCCGCTGCACCCAGAGCCTCGCTCCGGACCGGCCACGGCCGCCGGCTGCCAGGCTGCCCTGCGAGGGCCTGGCGCTGTCGGCATCGGCCTGCAGCTCGTGCTCCAGGTGCAGCAGGGCCTTGTCCAGCACGTAGGGCAGGACGGTGTGCAGCGCGACCAGCACGCCACGGCGCAGCCTTGAGGGCACTCGGCTCTGGGACGGGTCCACCTGCACGATGCCAACGTACTCTTCCCCGAGGGTCTGGTAGCCTGCCGGGGTTGGGGGGTGGCGCTGACCCTCATGGGAAACTGAGGCTGGGGCCCACCGTCCATTTCTCTCTCTCTGCACTGGATCTTGCTATCAGGTCCCTACCTTTCCTCTAAAGGATGGAGCTGCACTGGGGCCCCGCTGCCCTTGCTCTGTGATGGGGCTCAGTGCTGGGACCCCTGTCCGGCCACAGAACTCAGTCCCAAACAGTCCCAATGGCCGCTTGGACAAAGTCTAGGATGAAAGTCCCCAGAAACAAAGGCTGAGAGGACGGCACAGATGTGACCCTGGAACTTTGAGACGCTCCAGCTGGGGCTCGGGGCCTGGCATCTCCTGCGTGGGAGGGCATCAGGGTCCCCTTCTCCCCTGAGACTGCATCGGGGCCAGGGCCACTGGGAAGCACCTCCGGGCGCTTCTTTGCTGGCAGCTCTGCGACCCCTGTCCCCAGGCTCGGTGTGTTGTGGGCCCCTTGGTCTCAAGGTCCCGCCTGGCCTGTTACCTGCAAGTGTGGTGAGGCCGAAGTAGGCGACGTCCGACAGCAGCTCGATCTCCCTCCTGCACTGCAGCCATCTCTTCGCACCTGAGAGGAGGTCGAGGGGGCGAGGTGGCAAAGTTCAAGTCCAATCCTTCCCGCTCCTCCTGCTGCCAAGGCCCAGCTCCCCCCCCCCCCCCGGGGCCGAGTCTGTCCTAAGCCACCGCCCTCCCTGTCCTGGCCTCCCCGCTACGCACTCAGCCCCGTGTCTCCTACCTCTGGGCCGCCGCGAATCCCGAGAACCTCCCGCGCCGGCCGCCGGCCGCTCTGGGACCCACGGGGCTTACTGTTCTCGAGCCCGGACGGGCCACAAGGACAGGCGGCGGAGCAGGGCAACTCAGAACACAAGCCGGGCCCGCCGTCCAGCATCAACCCCAGCCCCCCACGCTGCTGGCTGTAACCTCAGACAAGTTACAAGAAGTCTGTGGAACCCCAGTTTCCCTCTGGAGAAAGGGGAACACCGACCGAGTCCCGCCTGGAAACGGCGTTTAGAGAGCCAAACGGGTGGCGTTTGTGAAGCACCGAGAACGTTCCTCGACACAAGACATGTCAAAGTGAAGTGCCACCCGTTTATTCCGCTCGCCCTCTCCCCTCCCAGAACCCCCGGCCGCGAATCTGCACTGGTGTCCGAGCGTCCCCCCTGGCGTCGCCCTCAGCCCGGGGCTCCCTCTCCCCAGAAGCTTGCGCCAGTGCCTGGGCCTCACCCCCGGCCCCAAGCAGGGCCTCACCCGCCAAGCTGTGCAGGGCGCCGCCCGCCGCGCTCCGCAGCCCGCCGCGGTAGTAGTCGTCCTTCTGCGCCGCGCGAACCACCTCCGGGGGCCCGGCGGCCGCAGGTGCCATGACTGCCGGACGCACGGCTCTGGGGCCCCGCGTGGCCACGCCCACGCGGGCGGTGCCTGATGACGCAAGCGCGTGGCGCAGGCCTTTTGCGTCTAACGCGGAGGGCGGGGCTGACTGCTGCCCGGGCGCGTCGGAGCCGTGAGGGCGGCGTCGTGCGGATGCGGGAACGACGCTTGGTTGGGGTCGATATGGCGGCGGGCCGGGCCGCAGCTCGAGCACTGGGGTGGGAGGCAGGGGCGGGGCCGCCAGGCGTCGAGGCCCTGCGGGGGCGGGCCGGGGGCGGGGCCGTGAGGGGCGGGGGCGTTGCAGAAGCGGGAAGTGGCCGGAGGCGGGGCCGTGGAGATTGGGGGCGATGTGGAGGCGGGCAGGGGCCGGAGGCGGGGCCGTGAGGTGCTGGGGGCGGTGCGGAGGCCGGACCGTGAGGGGCGGGGGCGTTGCAGAGGCGAGAAGTGGCCGGAGGCGGGGCCGTGAGGGGGTGGGGGCACTATGGGGGCGGGACCTTGGGGGGGCGGAAGGCGATGAGGGGTGGGGGCGGTGCGGAGGCGGGGCCGCGAGGGGCCAGGGGAGGGGGCCTTGCGGGGTGGGGGCGACGTGGGGACGCGGGCGTGAGTGGTGGGGACCCACGGGGGCGGGGCCGGAGGGGCGGGGGGCGGTGCGAGGGCGTGGCTGGGCCGCGCTCCCGGAGGTCCTGGAAGGGCTGGCCGCCGAGATGTGGGAACGCGGCGGGCGAGGCGGGAGGGGCGTCCGGAGGTGGATGCGGGACCTGGTTTAGGGGCGAGGTGGACGTGCTGGCGTTTTCGGCTCTGAAAGCTGATGTGGCGGCTTCGAGGTGAGGATGACGAGACAGGCACCGCTCCGCCTCCGCCAAGCGCCGACCCTTGACCCTCGCCAGCCGCCCTGCTCACAGAGGGGACGGCGCTGGGAGAGCCCCAGCTGGACCCGGCTGCGGGAGGGGAAGGGGAGAGAGAGGCGGGGGAGGGGTGGGGTGTGCCTGGAGGCTGGGGGCTCCGTGCCCCACCTGCTGCCCGGCAGAAGAGGGCGGGGGGGCCGCTTGTCCTGTCGGCACTGAGGAGAGTGCCTGGCTACGGGGCTGGGGAGCCACCAAGTTTACAGTGACTTTGTCCTGGAGGGCGTGGGGCGGGCGGCCCTGCCCTCGCCTCTGCTCCTATCTCCAGGGCCACCGCCCACCGACCTGCAGCCGGGCTGTGGCGGGGCTGTGGCTCTGGGCCAGTCTCCGCGCTAACGGGGTTGGGGGGGCCCAGCTGTGTGCAGGCCCTTCTTAGAAGGAAGGCGCGACCTGGGTGGTTCCCATAGTTCTTTCTGCTAGTGAAGCCCCGTGTCCTTCTGGAGCCGAGCCCCTGCCCGTGTCCCCGTGTCCCGGAGCCGGGCGCTGCCCGAGGCTTCAGCCGGCATCCCCGGTGGACCCGTCAGCAGAGGCCCGAGCGGAAGACCCTGCCTTCACAAAGTTCTGACCAGCTGCTCGGCCCCTTCCTGGCCCCCACGACGCCCGGGCCTGTGGGTTTGCGCAGACGCACGCGGTGTCCACCCGCGGCAGGCTGGGCCTGGATTTGTCCCTCCCTGCCGCGCCCTGCCCACCAGCGGGCCCTGCTCACAACGCACTTTCCCTTTTTCTTTTGCTCAGCCCCGCTGCTGGGCAGGGCGAGGCCAGAAACCGTGTGACCGAGTGTGGGTTGTTCTGGGCAGGTGGGGGCCTAGGTCAACCCCGGTTCAGATCTCAGTTCACCCCCTGGTGCCTGCCCCCCCCCCCCAACCAAGAGGACTTCAGGTTGGGGTCAGACTGCGGAACGGCCGGCAGGTGGCGCCGTCGGCCCATCTGCTCTACCAGGTCAAGGGGCAGAATTTTAGGGGATTAGGGAGTTTCACCCCAAAGAGTGAACCTGGATCAGGATACAAAGATGTGGCAGAGTGGTCTCTGATCTCACCTTGGGAAGGAAGGTGAAGAGCAGTGTGGACTTCAGGGACGTGGCCGCCTGAGCCGGGCTTGAGGTGGTTGAGTCCAGCTGCCTGGAGGCGGGGTGGGGGGGGAAGGGGGGACGCTGCTGTCCACCAGCTGGGTCTGCAGTAAGGGGTCACTCCATTTTTAAGCTACTGTGTGTCCAATGGAAGCTGAGGCCTGGGCCCCGCTGATCAGGAGCCTTGCTGGGCTGGTCTCTGACTCGACCTGCCGTGACTTCAGCAGGTCCCTGCTCACCTACAGAGAGCTTTCACACGCTTTCCACCTTAACTGCCCAGGCCTCCATTTTCTAACTCTGTGAAATGGGAACACTGATAGAATTAGCTGGTATTTATTAAGAGCCCACTGTGCCAGCACATGAGTCTCCTGGATCCCAGGCTGTCCTTTGAGCAGGAGTGTGATTCCCAGCCCTCAGCGTCCTGTGTCCCTCCTCTGGGGTGCTTGCCCTGGACCCTCTCTCTCCCATGTCCCTCCTCTGGGGTGCTCGCCCCAGCTCCTCTCTGAGCCCTGCTGCACACCTCAGCCCTCGTCTCCCCCCTCATCTCCCCCCCAGCACCACCCCGCAGCCCAGTGGGCAAGCCAGTGGTCAGCTACCAGCTTGTCTGTGTCCCTCTGCTTCGTCCAGGAGGCTGGCCGCACCTGGCATAGCCTTCCTGCTGGGGCGGCTGCTGTAGCATCCAGCCCGGCACCCGCGGGTGCTCAGGAAATCAGTGCCCGGAGGACGGGAGGAAGGAAAAACCAGGTGGGCTGGCTTATTGCTCCAATCCTAAGACGCTCTCACCATGTGACTCCCTCCCCTGAATCCCCAGGGCTCAGGGTCCTCCCGTTGGATACCAGGTGGGGTGCACCCTGTCCTGGGATTGGAAGGGGGGCTGTTCCTGGGCAGGATGCCCACCCCGGGGACAGGAGGTTGGGGACACAGATGCCACACGCCTGGGTGCTGGGTCTGCGTCCCTGAGTGGGCAGGTGCCCTGGGGGTGGAGAGCAGAGGTGGGCGCTGCTGCTTCCGTGGGAGCGGCTCCCAGACGAACCCGGAGGGCAGGTTCCTCTACCCCGTGGCCGCCTGGAGGCCCAGGAATGCCCCTCCCTCCACCGGAGGCGTGGGTGTGCGGTGGACACAGGCGGAGTGGACGTGGGGTGGGGGCAGCCTGGGGAGGGGACGGGGGCCCAGGGTGCAGACCCCGCCAGGCCCTCGAGCGGAGACCTCCTTCAGCCACGCGGTGGTCCCAGAGCACTGGCCACCAGGAGGCTCGTTACTGGGCTCCAGTCAAGGGGCGAGAGTGCAGAGCCCGGGCTGGGGGGCTTGGGCTTAGTCTGGGAGGTCGCGTCAGGGCTTCCGGGGCCCGGGCGAGTGGCTGGGTGCTCGTGCGTCTCTGTGCTCTGGGACTGTCTGGCCAGAGCTGTGTGTCTGATGCAGAAGAGTCCATCCGGGGTCCTGGGCTCGGGCCCGTGGTTAGGGTTTTAAGGGAGCCAGGACACGAGTCTGCATTTGGGGGGCTGAGGAAGGTAGGGGCTACCACTCACGTGGCAGAGCTGAGATCAAAGCTCAGAGAGACTGTGCCTTGGTCAAAGCAGGCACCTGGGGAACCCCAGGTCTGTCTGGCCCCACATCTGTACACTAGTGGTTAGCGTGGCGGGTGCTCCCGTGGACGGAGGGCCCGAGTGTGTCCAGGTCCTCCCGCAGGTGGAGAGCAGGGGGAACCCCGGGCCCGCTGGAGGCCAGTGGTCAGGAGCCGAGGCCACAGCAACGGGTTCTGGGTATTTCTGCTCCTCTACACGCTCACTGTTGTGGCTCATTTATCAGACAGGTGTGACCTACCAAAACGTGTCACCAAAGGCCAGGGCCGAGTGGGGACCCAGTGGGGTGCAAGTTGTCCATTGGATTTGGTAGCTCTGGGCATGTGGTGGGGATGCGCACCCTTAGAGGTCAGCGCCGCGTCCCAGCCTCACCGCCCCCTGCAGCACCGGACTCTTCTCTCCCTGCTCCAGAGCCTTCAGAGGCTCCCCAGCACCCGGAGGAGAGAGTTCTAGGTCTGACCTCAGCCGTGGAGGTCCCTCCGAGTGTTGCGAGCACCTTGAGACACGGGGGTGTGGGAACACAGGTGCCCTGTTGGGTGACCACCGGCCCCACCCGTGAGGCCGTCTGCAGGGACCGTCTTGTCCAGGACTGTCCTGTGACTCAGTCACAGTGTCACTCGTCTCCCACCGCACTCCATGTGTCTCCCCAGCCGTCATCCCTGTTCACGGTCTTTTATGACGGCCGGGGGACTGCTTTGCTGCCTGCTTCCGTACGACGTGAGCCGTGTGAGCGCGGACCCCCAGGGGTCAGTGCGCCGTTCCCCGTTCCAGAAGGGGCTTCACAGGTTTTCCTGAGCAAACACAGAAAGGGATGAATGAGCCCCATTTCGGTGATGAGGGCAGGAGGGGTGCCCCCAAACAGCTGCCCTTGGGATGGAGGCCGGCAGGTCCCTGGAACCTTCTCCCGGGCCCTCCTGCCCCTTGCTCTGTGGCCGGACCGCAGAGCAGACCTTCCCAGGCGGCATGGGGCGCCCTCCGGTGAAGAGGAGCCTGGTGGGCAGGACTCGCGAAGTCTCTGCTGGAGACGGTGCCCCAGGTGCCCCAGGTGCCTGCGGGACGGCGCCGCCGTGTCCCCGGGCTGGCCGCGGGGGTGGCGGCCGTGGTGGGTGCGGGTGCAACTCCTCCAGCCCCCTTGGCCCTGGGCCCCTGCCTGGGACCACCGGGCAGGGGAGGGGAGCTGGAGGGGCCTTCAGTGGAGGCGAGGCCGGGGGGCTCCAGACCTCCCACCGTCCTTACCCAGGCAGTCGCGCTTTGTGCTGGGGGCGCGGGGGGCCTGCGTGCAAGCCTCCAGCCCTGTCCCCTGGGTCGGTGTAGAACCCTATGGGCAGTGCTGAAAGCCTTGGGGACCCCAGGGGAGCGCAGCGCAGAGCACAGGGCGGGCCAGGGGATCGGCGGGGGCCCCCAGCCTCGGGCAGGGCATCTTCCCCCGCCCCCGCCCCAGCCTGTTTCCTGCCTTGTGTAACAGGGCGGTGAGGAGTGCCAGCCACTCCGGTGCCCGTGCCTGCCCGGCTGCCCCCTCTCCCAGGCGGGCGCCCCCCCCCCCCGCCGTTACTCCCAGCTCGGCCTTACCCAGGCCTGCACTGTGTCATGGCCCCCCAACACCCCTGCGCCCCCACCCCGGGCCCGACACCCTGGTGGCGGTAGCGTCCTTGCTGCCCAGGGACCCTGGGGCCTGCTCCCATCCGTCCCCGCCCCTCATCGGTGGCCCCAGCAGCCAGCCGTCCTCCCCAGCCCTCAGCCGTGTGCCCACCCTCGAGCACAGCTCTTCTCAAGAGGGTGAGCTTCCTCTCCCCACCCCAGTGCTGTCCCCCCCCCCCGCCAGCACACAGCCCGCCACGGCCAGGCCCCGTGGGGCCCCCTCTGCCCCCTTGCAGGCCGCCTGGCCTACGCCCCTACCCAGCCGGCCACCCCAGGTCCTGCTGGTTCCCGAGCGTGCTGTTGGCAGAGGCCTTGAACGGTGCCATCACGGCGGATGTTCAGGGCCTAAGGGCCCAGCAGAAGGAGACAGGACTGGTGTTGCTGGCTGTGTGCACCCAGCACTGGGATGTGAGAAGCCAGCCTCCCCGGGGGGTGAGGACAGTGAGGGGCAGCGGGAACAGGTGTCCCCAGCTGTGCTGGTGTCCGTCAGGTGACAAGTGCGCTCCCTCAGCTGCCCCAGGCTAATCCTGGGAGGAGGGTTAGGGGCTTCTGTCCCAGTCCTGTCCAGATTGGGACGTGGAGGTCTTAGCCAGCCCTGGGCCCATGGACAAGATGGCCCTTCCTGCCACAGGGCCTTTGCACATGCTGTCCCTGGTGTCTGAAGTGTCCCCTCCTGCAGAGGGTCCTGTTCACAGCCTGGCCCTTCTGAGCCCTGTCATACCCTCCTCTACTCTGGGGCGTTGTGGCAGCTGGCTGGTTGGTGCAGAGTGGGGGGGCTGCAGAGACCCCACCTGCCTGCCTCAGGGTCTCTGGTCATTGGTCAGGAGCTCAGCCAGTGCTGGGTTAAGGACCCGGGGACATAGGACTGCATCTCCTCCCTCCTCCTGCCCCAGCCTTGACTTACCTTTTTCTGTCAGCAGCCTCCTGCCTCCACCCCAAAGACTCAGCCTCTCATCTGGGCTGCAGGGGGCTGTCAGATGGAGACACTCCGGGCAGGGTCTCTGCTGTCCCCCGCGGGCCCTGGGCTGTATGCTCCGTTTTAATCCCCTTGCGCTGTGGCGTGGAGACCAAGCTACCTCCCTGAAGTTCTCACCCGGAGCTGCCTGTTGGGCCCAGGTGACATTCTCGAGTGGAGAAGGTGGGGTTCAGGCGGGGGAAGTGGCGCCCCAGTCTGCTGGCAGGTTGTGGGTTCTTCCTGGGACCATCTCTGTTTGTGGGGTGAAGCCCAGTTATTTTGGCCCTGCCCCCATGGGGTGTGCTCCTGGTATGAGCATGGGAAGGGGTTCCTGGGAGCCGGGGAGGGAGGGGCCTGTGCCTGCCCGCCAGACCCCCGGCTGGTGGGCACCGTGCCTGCCGCCCCCGTGGGGCAGGGGGCACTCAGCACCCCGCTTTACAGGTGAGGAAACGGAGGCTCGGAGGGAAGCTTCTGGGCTACACGGGGCTGGCTTCAAGCCGAGTTCTGACCCTGAGACCCCCAGTTCCTCAGGAATCTCTTCTGCAGACCTCAGGTCAAGAGAGCAGTGGGGGCCCCTCCTCCCCCCGTCTTGACTCCTCTCTTGACTGATAATGGATTGTCATTTGCCCATCCGCCCCACCTTGGGTGCATCTTTTGGGGTTTGGGGTTTGTTTGTTTTTTTCTTTTTGGTATTTTTCAGCATGGATAGTGTTATTTTGCTGCGATTTTTAAAAATCCGTATTGGCGGTGCACAAGGTGGCCTCCGGACCCCTTTCCAACCTGAGCAGCTGTTGGGGACCCCGAAGTGTTTTGTGCAGTGGTGACTGAGCCGCTCACACCGGCTCACGAGCCGCCTGTGAGGTCTCCGGTAATTCTGAGAGCTGGTTGTTACACACAGCCGTTATTAAAATCAAATTAAACTAATTAAATTATGTAAAACATAGAAATTATAAGAAAAGCAAGGTAATGAACAGCCACTCTTGCTTCCTGGTTATTCACATCTTGCTGTCATCTGCGCCCGTATCTTGGAGCTCAAGCCTGTGCCATCCGCCCAGTGGAAGTCCCGGGGGACCGGATGTGACCGCGGTTCCTCCCGGCTGGAAACTGCCTGCCGCGGGCGTATTTACGTGGAAATTGGCAAACACCGCCCATCAGGGCTTTCACCGCCACGGAAAATCCGGACCAGCACACCCCTGGCTATTAGGACTTGACATTTACTATGTTAGATATTAAAATTAATTATTAGAAACACTTTGTTGATGCAGGCTCACTAAATAACAATCAAGTATTTACGTGTGACTGTAAAGGATATTTTTTGTTTTTTATTGAAGTAGAGTTGACACGCGGTATTACATTACTTTTTCAGTTTCGGGTGTGAAACCGGCATGGCGACCGGGCAGTTCTGTACAGTACCCAGGGCTCGCCCCGTGTTATTACAGTCTCACTGACTATAGTCTCTGTGCTGTCTCCACGCCTGTGACTTACTTATTTTGTGACTGGAAGTTTGTGCCTCTTACTCCTCTTTATCTGTTTTACCAATTACCCCACCCACCGCCCCCCTGACAACCACTAGTTTGTTCTCAGCACTTAAGAGTCTGTTTCTTTGTTCATTTGTTTTGATTTCAGATTCTGCACATGAGTGAAATCCTATGGCATTTGCGTTTGTGTGTCTGACTTATTTCACGTAGCGTAATGCCCTGTGGCTCCATCCATGTTGTTGCAGATGGCAAGATTTCATTCTTTTTACGGCTGAGTAATATTCCGCGTGCACTTTGCCCCTTCCTTCGCCGTTCACCTACGGGCAGACGCCAGAGGGCGCTCGCAGCTCTTGGCTGTTGCGAACGGGGCTGCAGTAAACGTAGGGGAGCGTGAACCTTTTTGAATTAATGTTTTCGTGTCCTTTGGGTAAAGACCCAGTAGTGGAATTACTGGACCAAGTAGTGTTTCTGTTTATAATTTTGGAGGAACCTCCATATTGTTTTCCATAGGGGCTGGCACCAACTTACATTAATATAAATAATATTTTATGAAAATAAAATAATTTTTTTTTTCCCAAAACAAATTCCATGAGAAGGGTGGTATCGCTTTGCATTGTTGCGAGTGTCCATCACGGGGGCGGAGGGAGGGGGCCAGGCTGTGGATGCGCTGCTGCAGCGCCGTGGTGGCCGTCACTGCGTGTGTGAGGCACCCAAGAGACCCTCCTCCTTGCATGTGAGTGTGTGCGTTCGTCATCGCTGCCGTGGCAAAGCCGCAGAGACGACGCTTCGCGGGGCGGGGGGTGAAAGCCCGAGCCTGGCAATGCCCATCTGGGGTTCTGTTACATGAACCCGTCGGTGGGTCTTTGGCTGTGAGTGGATTTCTACCTGGACACGATTTGGGGCATCTGGAAGCCACTGGCCACTGAGCGTGGCAGAACTCCCGCATGTGGATGTGTCTCATGCTCGCTCGTGAATGTCGCCTCTGCTGCCGTGAGAAAAAGCCTCAAATATTTGGAAGCTGCCAGACTCGCAGTGGTGGATCACGTTCTCCAAAATGCTCATTTTTACTGAAGCTTGAATTTTATCACTGGCAACAGATCTTACCACTTGGTCGTCACTTTGCGTTTTAGGTGGCAGGCTTGCCGTCTGCGGTTTGGAGAAATCGGCCGCCAGATGTTGCACACGCCTGTGCCGCCCCACAGTCTGTCTGCAGTGGTGCCTTCCAGCAAAGACTGCTGCCCGTGCCTCCGGCCCGCGGGGCTGGCACCTGCCACCGGAGCCCCGCCTCCTGAGAGCCTCCTCGCTTCCCCCCGCAGGGCACTGGAAGGAGCTGAGGTTTCATGAAATTCACCGTTTGGAAGTTCTCAGGGCAACGGCTTCTGTATTTAAATCTGAGTGCATGGTGACAGGGGGCCTGAAGGGACGGCCCGGTGCCGTTCGGAGCAGCCGCCTGGGTCTGTGCTGAGTGGTATCCACCATTGTGCAAATGTGGGCACAGGGAGGAAGGGGATGGTTATGGAAATCGTGCAGACCTCCGGCCCCCGGGGGTTCTGGGGACACGGCGGGCTCCGTGGGCCTCATGTTGGAGGCACCACCCTCTGGCACGCCTCCCTCCCTCTGGTCTCTCTGCTCGGTACTGTGCTCTCGGGACGCTTCCTGTCCCCACGGCCCCCACGCTGCATGTTTATTCCACGTGTGCAACCCCACCGGTCAGGGCTGCTGTGAACATTTTCCCCCACTCCCTTGGGGGCCACTACCAAGCTGGCTGAGTGACCCCCACTCATACCTGGGTCTTGACCTTGACAAAAGCCCCTCCTTCGGGACCTAGCATGAGGGTTCAACTCTGTGAGACCAGCCCCTGCGCCAGCTCACTCCTGCCCACCTTCGTGAGCATGGGCCCGGGACACTGCGATTCCCACCACGGCCTCGGAGTCAGGGCTGCCGGCTTCTCTGTGCCACGTGTGGCCAGGCAGGCCCCGGCCTGGCTTTGGGCAGTTCAACAGCTTGGGCGAGTGCCCCCCACCCCACATCCTCTGTATTCTCATCTGCTAAGTCCAGGGTGGGAGAGGGAGGGCAACGCTGGGTAGAGGGTCCAGCCTCAGACTGGCCAGCCACGGGGGTGCCCTGCCCTGCCTCCCTTCGCTGGGGCCCCTCCACCTGAGGCTGTGCTGGAGAGGCAGGGGTGGGCGCCAGGGGGCGCTGGTGGGCAGCGAGGTGCCCCGCCAGAGAGGAGACTCCTCAGGCAGCGCTAGGGGAGTAGGGGGGAGGGACGGCTGGAGTGGAGGACGCTGGCTGCTGGATCCCAAGACGAGGAAGGGGTTGGGGGGCAGGTAGGCCATCCCCTTGATTTCTAGGTACCTCATCATATGAGATTTTCAGGCCCTCAGACCAGGTGTCCAGCCCGGGTGGGGGGGAGTGGGCAGCGGGCCTAGAAAGAGTCAGGTGGGATGTCTGGGGTCTGGTGGCCGGTGGGGCCTGGGACTGGGAAGGAACAGATGCCCTATCCCTACACCCCCTCTCCAGAGGCTGGGGCTCCCACCTCGGCCTGGCTCCCACCCCTGGGTCTTTCTGAGCCAGGGGATGCAGGGGAGTAACGGGGAGAATGTCGGGAGCAGGCTGGGGCCCTCGGTGGCCCTCGGTGGCCCTCGGTGGCCAGCCTGCCACTCTGCAGGACACCACAAGGAGGTGCTGCGGACATCAGAGGTGAGTCATCGGGTGGGAAGCCACTGAGGGTCCGCGCCGGCCCTCCCTGTGGGCAGGGTACTACAGACTGACAAGCAGAGGCCAAATGGCAGCCACTGCATCCTCTGGGGGCTTTGTGGGCAGGGGGCCTGGTCATTTTGTGGAGGTGGGTCCACCTCTGGGCGTGAGCACCACACCCTAGGGGCTGGGCTGCTCTCTGGCCTCTCTGGGCCTAGGCTACATGTCTTGATTAAACAGGCTGATGCTGGGGGACAGGGGTCAAATGGACCCAGCCTGGCACTGAACGATGTCATCCATGATTGGTCACCTTCGGGCAGTGGCCAGTTCCCAGGACTTGATGTTGGCATCCGGGTGGGGGTCTGAGCAGGCTGAAGGGCTGGCACCGGGGGGTGGCCTCCTTGGCCTGGGGCTCTGTGGGGACCAGCAGCCTGGCTGGGGACTGCCCCACGGAACCGTCAGCTGCGGCTCCTCCCACCCGCAGCCCCCCCCCCAAGGCTGCTGACCCCGCTGCAGGCCCCCTTGACTGTAGGGGCCGGTGTGTCTGGGACTGAGGGGCCCTGGCGTGGTCTGGGGGGCAGGGGTGGGTGGTGAGGGGCTCAACTCACAGGGCAAGATGCAGCCGGGCCTGTGCCAACAGCTGACCTCATGGTCCTTAACGGCCTTGCCCTGGCTTGCGGTGTGGGGCTGTTGCCTAATTAGGTTCTACTGCGCCAGCCCCGCCAAACCCCATGCCCAGCCCGCGCCTGCAGACGTGTTCAGGCACGGATCCTGGGCTCCCACTGTGGCAGGAAGCCGCGGTGCCTGCTCGGGAACCCGGCAGCAGCCGGCTGGGACGGTGGCTGGGACGGTGGCGGGAGCTCGCACTGGCCTCGTGGGCGGCACAACCCGGCTGCCTCGGTGAGCCTGGGCCTGGAGACCCCACACCTTCAGGTGAGCCTGGAGCCGGGTCGTCCGGAGGGGTGACCGGGAGCGGACGGAGGGCCTGTGAGAGGCTGCGGCAGGCGCAGCCAGGCTGGGGCTGGAGGGGGCCCGCGAGTCCTGGCGCCCTGGCCCCTGGGCTGCCTGGTGCCCGCGCCCTGTGCTCTTGGAGGTGTAGGAGCCCGGGGAGCTCCTGGCCAGCTAGTTCTTGGTCAGCCGCTGGCGTTGGAGGGGGTGGGCCAGGCGGGGGCCTGGGGACTGAAGTATGCCAGGGTGGGGGAGGGACAGACCTCTGGGGGGGTGTGGGGGGTTGGGGGAAACCTTGGAGGCCTGGGCTTCAAGAGGGCCACCCGCTAAGCCTGACCCACAGGGACCCTGGGGGAGGGGGTGCTGCGGGAGCCCGGGGCTGCCGCTCAGTCCTTCTTCCTACTCAGGCAGGGCACGGCTCTGGGTGTCTGGAGGGGCCAGTACCCTGATCTCCACCTGGGGGCCAGGCCCAGAAGCTCTGTCCTGGGCCCAGTGGCCTCCCACCTCGGCCTCTGCAGCCTCTCTCTAGCCCCCAGGGAGGAAGAAGTCTCTGGAAGGAGCTGGTCCGGGGTATGAGGGGGAAGTGGACGGATGGAGTGGGGGTTCCGAGCAGGAGAGGAGCCTGCGCACAAGCCAGCAGGACTGAGACTTGGGGAGGGGGCACCAGGAGGCAGGCGGAGCCTGGGGTCCACTCAGGGCCTCCGATGCCAAAGTGGCTCCATCTGCTGCATAGACCCACACGTGGCCCAAAGGGCCTGAGCCCCCGCCTGGGGGTGACAGTGCCTGGGAGCCAAGGGCTGTGGAAAGGGCCTAGGGCAGCCTCCTCAGGCCACTCCTGTCTGTGGTCCGGGGCCCACCCGTCTGGGGCCCAGGGCTGGTGAGCCCCCCCAGCACCCTCATGGCAGAAAGGGCTGGCTGATGGCTGCAAAATGATGCCTGGTTTGCCTTTGAACTTCATCGAGTTCAGGAAAAGTCCCAGCACAGAGCAACAGTCACACTTTGGTGATGGAGCCATTGCTCCAGCCACCAGCACCCTGGCCTCACCCACTCCTCACCGGGGTGGCCGTTCAACTCTGAGAGGTAGTGAGCGGGGCTGGCATGCAGCAGTGCTCTGCAATGCCACCCTGGTGTCGGCCTGGATGCCTGGCCAGGCCTCACCCACCCGCCTGCCGCCCTGCTCTCTCTAGGTGTGTGATGAGCCACAGGCCCAGCCCCCACTCCGGAGTAGGACGCCAGGGGCCCCAGGGGCAGAGGGACCTCAGAGCAGTGTCTCTCTGTCCCCCAAAGGGGGCTGGCCCCAGCCGGTGACCCGGGCCAGCCACGCCTCCTGCCCGCTGCCCTCACCGCCCAGAGCCCTGCACTGGTCTGTGATGGCTCCCCCGCTGGAGGACCCGGGGCCCAATCTGGACAGTGGACAGTCCTTCCTGAGCATCAATATTCTGCCTGTGGGTGAGTGAGGCCTCCGGCCAGACAGTGAAGTGGTTCTGAGTCCCAGTCCCCACCCGGGAGAGGGAACTGTGCCTGCTCCCTCAGAACAAGAGGGCTGCCATGGGCGCCCCCCACCCCCACCCCGCGTGATGCCGAGTCGCCGGCAGGCACCCGTCCTCAGTGCATGAAGTTGACATGTCTTTGCTGGTCTCTTTCCAAGATGGGGGCTGAGGGGGCCCCACCCGAGGTCCCTGGCTTCCCCTAGTTGAACGGGGACTGTCGCACCTCTGGGGTGTCTAAGGGACGGCTCTCAGTGGCTTTAGGCAAAGACAAGACACAAGCTGGCCCCAGGGCTGGCGCTCAGGGTGGGAGACAGGGACCAGAGCAAGGTCGCTCCCCTAGTCCCTCCCCTCAAGGGCCAGGGCGGCCTTGCTTCGGACTGGCTTCCTTTTTAGGAAGACCCACTTTGAGGCTGCCGGCTTGCCACCAGCTCCGCCCACCTGTCAGACCCCTGGGAACCTGGGCCAATTCTCGGGTCCTCAGCACAGCTGCGCTGTGCACCCCAGGGAGGCACTGGCCTCTGGGCCAGGCGTCTCTGTGTCTGCCGGTGGCCTGTTGGCAGTGACATTTGTGGTCTCTGGAACGGGGTGCTGCTGCTTTGGGGCATTGTCTCTTCTGTCTCGGCTTCGGGAGGGATGGTGCACACACTGTAAAGTGCACACACTGTAAAGTGCTCGCGTGTTGGGTGCGTGGCCAGATAAGGTCCCGCAACGTGAACTGGCCCTGCGACCACCACCGGATACTCGTTTGCGGCGTTTCGGCTTCCGGCGTTTGCGTTTACACAGGTGCAGAGGCGTCCAGGTGAGGCCGGCGAGGTGTGCGTGCCCCTCGCCCGCAGGAAGCCTGGGGGCCCCCACAGGCTCGCCCCCGGGACTGGCTCCAGTCTTCCCGCTGTGTAATTTGCTCCGTGCTCCGCAGCCGCCCACGTGGAATTACACACCACTTGGGTGTGCTCGGCTGCCGGGCCCAAGCACTCGGGGAAGCGGGGGCTTCCCCCCTTCCGGCCCAGAACCGCTGGCCGCGGTGTCCTGAGTACCCAGGACGGGGTGGGGGGGCTGCGCTGAGGTCGCTGGCGAGTGTCCCCCTCCAGCCCCGGGCCTGGGCTCGGCTGCTCCACGGCTGCTCCACCCCGGGCTGCGGCTCCAGGGCAAGGGGGCAAGGGGGCGCCGGAGGCTGCTGGCGCCCACCCTGTGCGGCCGGCCCGACTCCGCTCCCCTGCCCCGGTGCGGGGCGGGGGGGGGGGGGGGGGGGGGGGGGCTGCGTCTCAGCGAGGTGGGGCGCGCGTGCGCGTGGAGAGGCGGGCGCGCGCTTCCTGAGGCCGGCTGCCCGGGCCTGCGTGTCGGTGAGTGCGCGTGCGCGCGGACCAGGCCCCGCTCTCCCAGGGGCCGCCGGCTGCTTGCCCTGGGGCTGCCCCTCGGGACGGGTGGTGGGAGCGAGCGTGGGCACGAACTGGCACGCACGCCCGTGGGGGCCTGCGCACGTGGAGTGGGCTGTGTGCGTGTGCTCTGTGCACCGCTGCGCCCTGAAGAGCCGGGCCCGGCCTGTTCTCCCACATTCCGCAGACACGCCTGGACGGGCCTCCTCCGCCGAGGGGCCATGTCTGCCCCGAGGCCCACCGCCCCTGCCCGGGCTCCGGGGCCCTGCTGCTCAGCTCAGTCTGGAATGGGCGCTGGAGAGAGTGGCGGCAGGAGTGCAGGCTGCCGAGCCGGCAGGGCTGGGGGGGGCGGGGGCGCCCACCTCGTGCTCTCCGGCTCCTCCTCGCGCTCCCTGTCCCCTCCGTGCCCGACCTGTGCCCGACCTGCCGGGGCTGGTGTGCGGGACAACCCTGTGCTTGGTTCTGGGCCGAGCGCCAGGGTGAGGGTCCTTCCGGAAGGCTCTCCGAGGCAGCCTCACTGAGCAAAGGAGGCTTTCCAGCCAAGAGGGCAGATGGTCTCCAAGCCCGTGAAGCAGGTTGGTGTGTCCTGGAGGCTGCGGGCCGGTCAGCAGCTGCAGGTTGTCTCCCCGACGCTCAGGAGTCTCCTGCCGGCTCTGGACTGAAGGAGGCCAGGTTCCCATGAGCCGTAGCACCTGCCCTGGCTGATGCCAGCTCTGTCCCAGAATGGGGCCCGGAGAGGTGGGGGGCGGGGTGGAGCACGCCCAGGAGGGGTGTGCCTGGGTTGCTCTTAACCACCCTCACTCGGGCTCACAACCACTGTGCCCACGATGGGGTGCAGGCCCCCAAGTTCCAGTTCAGCCCCCTCTGGACGGGAGAAGACCTCACTCCCCGCTGGGGCTGGGGGGTGCGTGGGGTGGACCGTATAGAGCCCAAGCCCAGGACTGGAGACAGTGGGACAGTGTCAAGAAACGTGGCAGCCCCCACGGCAGATTGCTTACCCCACTTGTCGCGTATCCGTGGTAACGAGTTTTATTTAGAGCTACTTAATCCCCTTCCACAGGTAAAGGTTGGGGGAGAGCTATCGAGCTGCTCTCTGATGTTCTGAAGATGAGGATGATGAGGGCTGGGGGTGCCAGGCACCGTGCCTGCCGCGCCCAGAGACCCGGGGGGAGGTGGAGACCTGAGCTCCCCGGTTTGGGCTCCTCCCTGGTCCTGACAGCAAATGCACCAGGCTCTTCAAGGAGTCAGCCTCTCAATGCCTCCGGGGTCAGGAAGGGATAGAGCCAGGCCGGCAGATTCAGGCTGGACGGACACAAAGGGTGTGTCCTGTGAGGGAGCCTGGGCTCCTCCGGGGCTGAGTGGGAGTGGCCACCTGGGCACAGACTGGCACTCTCTGCAGGTTTTGGAGCCTGGGGTCTGTCCTTTGGGAGGTGCAAGGGCCCTGGGGGGCATCAGGTTCACCCATGTTCCCAGGTGGCATGCGCGCAGAGGAGAACCGCAAGGGGCTTCTCTAAAGCAGCCGGGGTGGTCGGGGCAGGCCTGATGCTAAGGGACATCCCGGGGACACTTGCCGACGTGGGGGGCTGTCATGGATACCTCCCCGCGTTGCTGAGCTGCCTGGCTGCACAGTATGTACAGCCAGGCGAGGAGGGGCTGTGGCGGCAGCTCCCTTCTCTTTTCAGGGGGAGGGGTCCCAAGCGCAACTTCCTTTCCCCGCCTGGTGCACAGGTGGGGCTGAGGTGGGGGCTTCCGGAGCGTCTGCCCGTTGTTCTGTGTGCTCTCGTGTCTGAGGACAGGCCACCTGCAGCGGCCGGGGCTTTGCTGGCAGAGCTACAGCCAGCAGCCCTGGGCTCCCGGGGAGTGGGGGTGGGGACGCTGGTTTGGGCTGCCCGGCTCAAGGCCCCACCCGGAGCCACTGGTCCCTCCTTTCAGGGGCCCCACCCGGCCTGGGGCCCTGGCCCGGGCCAGCCATGTGCTGAGGACCTGATGCAGCACAGCGATGCTCAGAGATGCTGTCACTAACTCAAGGTCACACAGCAAGATTTCCAGAGATAGGGCTCCTCCTCCTGGGGAGGATCTGCAGGAGGGCCAGGCCCCTGCGGGTGTACGAGTGTTGGACCCGACTGGCCAAGGATGAGAGGTGGCCAGGCCCCTCGGGCTGGAGGGCGTGTGCACACCTGGAGCTGCGGGCCTCCTGGAGCGGGAGCTGCTGACTGCCCGGGTCCCCCAGGCCTTTGAGGGCCAGCCAGTCCTGCCGGGCACCTGTCTGAGTGGGCGGGGCCAGCAGCCAGGGCGCCCCCAGCGCATGGCCAGGGCTGCCCAGGCACAGCGGGGCTCGGATCTGAGGCGTCCTGGTGCCCTCCTGTCCCGAATGTGTGTCCACGCCTGTGTCCTCACTGAGCTGGGGCTGGAGAGGCCGTGGCGGGTGGGGTGGGGGGTGCAGGGGAGTAAGCGTGCCTCCACGAGACAGGGGCAGGATGTGCGGACCCAGAGGCCTCCCCACTTGAAAATGTGTTCAGATCCACGCCCACCCCCAACCCCGGGACCTTCCACCAGCTCTGTGCTGGCAACCTTGCTTGTATTTCTTGTTTTTCTGAATATGAAAACAAGAAGCAAAACTTGGTCAGAGGAGATGATTTGGAAAATATTGAAAAACGTGGAGAAGAATGGGGCGCCTGGGTGGCTTAGTTGGTTAAGCGTCCGACTTTCGCTCAGGTCATGATCTCGCGGTTCGTGGGTTCGAGCCCCGCGTCGGGCTCTGTGCTGACTGCCAGCTCAGAGCCTGGAGCCTGTTTCAGTCTGTGTCTCCCTCTCTCTCTGACCCTCCCCTGCTCACGCTGTCTCTCTCTCTCTCTCCTAGAAATAAATTAAAAAAAAAAAAACCTTAAAAAAAAAATAAAGAAAAACATGGAGAAGAAGCGGGATCTGTCACCCCTGCTGTCACCTTCCTCGGAGGCTCTGCGTGCTTCGGTCCCTGAGCTCCGGGCACTGCGCTGAGTCTGAGGAGCCCTTCCCTGGGGTGTGGACGCCTCCAAACCCTTGCATTTTCCTCTGGAGCCTGATTTTTTTTAAATAATTTTTTAAATGCTTATTTATATTTGAGGGACAGAGAGAGACAGAGCGTGAGCAGGGGAGGGGCAGAGAGAGGGGGAGACACAGAATCGGAAGCAGCTCCAGGCTCCGAGCTGTCAGCACAGATCCCGACGCAGGGCCTGAGCCCACGAACCGTGAGATCATGACCTGAGCCAAAGTCAGATGCTCGACCTACTGAGCCCCCAGCTGCCCCTGAGCCTGATTTTAAATGACTGCCTCACAGTCCGGCTGCAAGTGTCTAGGAAACCCATGAGCGCTCGCTGTTATAAATAATGTCGCAGGCAAGCCTCCTGCGCACGCGTCTGGGTCTGTGCCCCGGGCCGTTTCCTTGGAGGCGCGTGTCTCTCCCACTGCGAGCAGTGGCATCTGACATGCTGACATGCGCGCCAAACTCTTTGAAGCTCCCGCCTTCAGCCTGGGGCTGCGCGAGCGCCTGGAGGAGGTGCCTGGCTGCGTGCGGAGGGCAGGACAGGACACCGTGGCCTCTCCTCCC